GGGGGGGGGGGGGGGTGAACCCGTCCGCTCGTCATCCAGCCACCACGCGGATCGGCTCCGGCCTGGACGCTGCCGCTTCATTTTGTTATTGGGTTTGAAATGATGAGGAGATAAAGGAAGGCCTGCCTGCGGGGATTTTCTGCCTCGCACAGCACTTTCTACTGTCTTTCTTATGGATGGGTGTGTCTGAGCCTCTCCCTCGTGTCAAAAGGAAAGCAGTCACGGGGGCAAATTACCACGTTACCACGATTAAAATCATCACGATGGCAACTTCCAGCATTCCCGCTGCTTCTGATCCTCACAAGTAATTAGATATCTCGGCTGTTTACACCAGAGAAAAGCGCTAGATAAAGAAAAATCAGACAAGCACCTGTGTTTCTTAATAAGACATCACTCTCCTTTTAAAACAGCTTAAAATACTGCTACACGCATGCATTTTCACCTCATTTTAGAGTAACAGCAATGATCATTTTACAGCAGACTTGGAGTCGGTGGGTGTTTGTTCACTGCTGAAACCAGCTGTTCCTTTTTCACAGCTCACTGTTTACTTTCCTGAACAACACACTTTTGGTCACTTTTATTAGCTTTTCTGTGCCTTTCTTGTCATATTTAAGGAGCTATCTACTGTTTGCTTTGCAATCCAAAAGCGTTTGATGGCAATGAATCGTTCAGCCGGAGGGATGTCATGTTCAAAAACAAGCTGTTGGGCTTGAAACGGGGCCTCAAATAAAGGCTGTCATTAAAAACTCCCAAACCCTCTTCAATTACAGCCCCAGGATGCCAGCTGCAGATTAGCTAGCAAGCCGATTAACAATCATCTCCCCGGCTTCACTTCACCATCAAACAACAATAGCAAAGAACAATGATGGCGTGTAACCTGTTGCCATGGTTACATGTGCCACCCCTGTTGTGGGAGGGGTACCACGGGGGGGCCAGTTTGAGTCTGTTTTTCAGGCCATTCTTCGGGTCAGTAGCTCTGCAGGGGTGGACAGGGAGGAGGGGGCGGGGGTCCAGGGGCCTGCCGGTGTAAATAGTGCTCTGGTCCAAAGACGCAGCGGAGCAGCAAAACAATTAGTTCACAGAGGGAAGGGACTGGAACCGGCCCCCGTCTGAGCGGAAAACTGGGGGATACTCGTACAGCAGCTGTAAAATGACTCCATCTCGCCAGCTCACTTGAGATTTACTTCCTCACGGTCTCTGTGAATCTGTCCGAGGTCACTCTGACTCCTCTGGAGCTGGAGGTGGATTAGCATTATTCACAGTTGGAACTGGGAAGCTTTATATTCATGGCTGCGCGACACTGAGGAGGTTACCTTGATGTAATAATAACTAAAGGGCTTCTTTTTTGCAAACTTTATGATGAACATTAACACAAGTGAGTCGTCTGAACGTCACAGTATTTGCACCAATCCAGACAGAAATGTAAAAGAAAATGTGAAAATAGATACCTGGTAATAAAGTTTCCCTCTATCTACTTCTGAAATGAGACTCTATCTGAGAACATGCTCTCCATAAATGGGGATTTTCCACTAACATGTTAGCATCCCCACACAAGAGGAAAACATTTTTGGACACTTGGGATCTACATTCACACGTCCATTTTTTTCTTCTTCTCCAGAACGACATTTTTCTGCCATGATATTCCTTTTTTGGTTGTTCTTTTTTTGAAAGGGGGGTTTCCTTTGGAGGTTATAATAATATGCCTTCTTTGCAATATTCTTAAAGCATAGATTCATTGAGTCTCTGACTTTGCCCCCGCACAGTTCCACATCATGAATCTTTATGCAGGTTTCCGTCATGGGCCTAAATGACTCCTCACCATTTTGTGGTTTGACACTTAATGCTCACGTCTGATGTGTTTTCCTGTCACATGAGTGCACAGTCTCTTCCAGCTGTTCACCTGGAAAAAGCCAGCAGCTATTGCTTGAATATCTGTTGTCAGGGGAAGCTTTAATCTAATCAGAATGTGGATTAATCTCCAATCCTGACCTCATCTGTGTGTATTTTTAGCATTGAGGTTGTCCTTAAAGTGCTCTGTCATGCTTTATATAGCCTGCACATACTTTTGCAGCATGGACTCAAAAAACCTTGCTTTTAAAAGCCGAATGTCCCCTAAAAAGTCTCAGATCAACGCATCGATTAGGTCAGAATTGTTATGATTTAATGGAATAGGTACTCTTTCAAATTATGAAGATTGAATCCCTGGGCTGGCGAATAGCTTCAGCTTTAAGCTCCTTTGCATTGATCACCAGAGGCGGGCGTGATGTTACCCTGAATATCTACAATGGTCTCTCCTCTAAGCCGTTCAGTCATTTGACTAACTGAGATAGTGACCACTGAGTTTGAAAGCCTGAAGAAATGTTTTACAGTATATAAAACAAATTATGTAAAAGAAAGCTTGTGAACTCAATTCTTTTAGAAAAGTTTTCCACTTCTAAAGGTGTGAAAACCAACACAGGACATAGTTTTACTGTCACCGTAAACAACAGTCTAAACTAGTGTCCGTGTACACCTTCTGGGTCCATATAGACCTTTTTGAAGCTACGTGCCTCCGTATTTATCTGTATGAACGCCTGCACAGGCTACAGAGATAGCAAATGTTCTGAGATACAGCTTGAATCTAGAGGCTGAGGCAGCAATTATGTACCAGCCCCGACAGGAAACGCGTTAAAAATGCATGTTAAGGGAGCTTCATTTTGTTTTTACAGGAAAAATAACAGAAAATCAATTTTTTTTTATACATATCCAGCTACCCCAAACTTAATCTGTGCTGAAATCACAGGGGAACTTTGTCAATACGCTGCACTGCCACACAGAATACAGACAAGTGATCGTTTCCCCTTGAGCTGTCACACTTCCATCCGTCAGGAGGGGAAGAGGGTTTTTCACCAGATAGGAATTCAGTAGGATGAATCACGAAGGTTAGCCAACGACAAAATGCCTCTTCCAGAACAGCAGTTGTTCATTTGGACGCGCGTTACTCATCAGTATTCCCAGCACGCCTCAAATCTGAACAAATCAACAAATGCTTTTCAACTTTCAACCTATATCATATATACCTTTAAAAATATTCATTTCTAAAATAAGTGGTCAAACGTCCTGACGTCGTCCTTCACCATCCAGAAAACATGCTTGTTGGGTTAAGTGGTGACTCTTCCCCTCATCCACCGGCGACCTCTCCAGGGTGTACTCTGCCTCCTGCCAGCTGACAGCGAGGACTGTGCAGCCACTCTGAGACTCTCAATTGGGTTTAAGCGCTTACGGGAAATGGACGGATGGATTTCCAAATGTCCTACAGCCACTGTGAGGCTTTCCTACTGAGGATTGACAGCTTCCATGGAAAAATGTTAGGCTATCTCTACTCCGTTAGACAACCAAAAGATTGTGTTCAAAAGATTCATTAAAAGATTCATTAAATCATTTATTTAGCTCATCTGCTGCTGTGTGAGGGCGGATTTGTTCCCCTCTCTCTATGAACACATGGAATTATTTTGATAAAGCAATTCATTCAAATTAGGTTATTTTCCAATACAAAACTATCACACTGGAGGGATGGGCTGAATGCAAATCAAATGTTAAACTGTGCACAATCCAAGCTCTTAATGTCCAGCGGATGTGTTTTGACATCCTCCTGGTTTGCAGAGAGCTACCAGAGACACTGCACAGCCACACAGATGTCCCTGATTAGGTCCAGGCTGCAGCTGGGCTGTGGTGAGCTTTTACATGATGTCACCGGACCCCATGCACCAAGGAAAAACCATCCCTGTGTGGCTGTGCCTCTCCGGCAGGTGCAGCACGGTCCCACAAAGGGCCGGATTCACCTAAAACCAGCAACACTGCTGGGGTTTTACAAAGATGCCCAACGGGGAGACATAAAAGTCATTTATTGGAGAATAAGCCAAATGTGTGGATCAGGTGGGGATGGGTGGCTGTGGGGGGGGGCTCGTTTAACCTGAACCCTGCTCAGTTTAACCATCAATCACCGTCGGACAGATTTATGTGGGTTGATTTAATCATTTAGATAAATGTGTCAGGACTAGAAAAAGGGCAGTATTTATCCTATGGTCCCCCCCCCCCTCCTTTTCCCAGTCAGGACTGACCTCCTCCAGCAGGTAGATGGTGTTCCTGCAGCTCGTCATCTTGGAGGTGAAGGAGGAGGTGGTGGGGGAGCTCCAGTCCTCCTGGACCTCCTGCACGAACTCCGGCACCGACACGCACTCCGGCATGGTGCGTCACCCCGGTCCACACCGAGCTGGACCCGGGACAGGCCAACCTGGTCCGGGACGAGCAGTTCAGCCCCGCACAAAAGCCTCTGGACGCCGGCAGCAAGAGTCCCTGCTTCCACGGGGGAGAAAATTGGGAAAATGACCTATGGCTGTCCAAATATCTCCCTATACGCGCAGGCGAGACGCCCCAGAGGCAAAGTGTCCACACTCTCACGGCCACGTGAAGAAAAAGAAAATGAAGCTTCGGTGGAGATGTTCAGTGATTGGAGAGCAGCTCAGAGTGATGACCTGCAGCATCCGACGCCTTCTGTTCTCCGAACAAAAGAGGACTCAGTTCAACAGAAACGTGAAACCGCAGCAGAGGAAAACAAAACAAAAAGACTCAAAATAAAAAACGCAACCGGATTAAATCCAACAACCTTCTGTTTTAGGAGCGTTTTCATTCAGAAAAAAATGAAAGGAAAAAAAAAAAATCCACAAACGCGCCTGCAGGTTCTGACAAAGAGCGCAGCTCCTGAGGGGAGAACCGGAGCCTCTGGACGCGGAACCGGAGCCTCTGGCCGCCTCTGGACGCTCAGATGAGTGGACAGCGCCGGTCAGTGCGTCCCTGTGCAGCCGCGGCGTCATGCCTGTGCATCACCAGCTCCGTAAAAAAAAAAATTCCTGCCGCTTTTGATTCTTTATTGAACCGCATGGAAAAGCGCGTTCACGCTGAGCAGCGGCGGAGCTTTGTGTCGCGGTGGCGCGCACTGCTGGCCGAGCCCAGAGGTACGCTGGGAAACTCCACGCAAGCCCAGCTCCTGCTCAGTAAAGAGCCAATTTTAAAACGTTTCAAACATAATATATAGTTTTATTATTTGACGAACAGTGATTTCCCATTTGGCTCCGTGAGAGACTGAATTATAGTCTCATTCAAATGAGCTTTTTCACCTTTCAGATTTGATCTTTTATGGAAAATGATCACTGGTCTTGGTTGACCTGTGACCCATTATTCGACCATGAACTCCCCTTTGAGTCAAAGTAATCTAGAGTCAAGTGTGAGAACATCGGACAGACCAAAATGAAATTAAATCATTCACAAAACGAAAAAAAAAAAAAACACAAAACGGAAACAGAGTCAAAGTCCAGATGTCATTTAGGTGGTTGAAATTATGTGAAGGGTTGTGAAAGAGCTGTAATTACTGGAATTCCTCAAACCTCAATCAAATGAACAAATATTGGGCTAAAAGATGTAAGAGACTGATGAAATCATGCAGAAAACAATCATTTATGGGTGTTTTAGGGGAAAATTCCAGACATTTAATTTTGGACTGAAGTGGTCAGCCACACACTCATCCTTTTAGTGTCTGAGGCAAAGAGCCAAACTATGCTTTTACACAACCCATCATCACAAGTCTCAGAGGAAATTATGCGAGATGACCTCTGCACAATAAACAAATCATTTGGAACTTCCTGTTGCACGGACAGAGGATGATGGTGCAGTCTGACGGCAGAGTGCATGACGGTCGTGCCCTGTAAACAGCAGGAAAAAGTCCCCTCTTTAAGGGGTTAACATGCCAAAGGTCTCAAGTGGCTTTCTAATGGATGGATGGATTCAGATAGAGGGCCTAGTAGCGCAATTATGCATCTGTCAAACAGAGACCTTTTATGGCAGTTTCCTAGAAAATGCTGAAAAAATGAGGATGACGTGACACAATGACATTTTAGATAAGAACAGAAAATGTCTACATATATAAATGTATGTATAAAGGTTTCCATCACCAGGCCTCAAAGTTTAGCACATGAAATTGGACAAAATGTTTTGTTTTTTTGTGGAATAAAAGTCCAATGAGACCTTTAGAGTGCCCACACTTATGAGGAAAGATGTTTGCCCTTTTAAAGAACAAAACAAATGATGAAGTGTCCCCTCAATGAGGTGGTGCTCCATAATACACTGGTGATGGTCGCAGTTATCAACGGATCATCTGGCCTAATATCGATGTTTGAGATATAAAAATAGCTGATTTGTAGTCTGTTTTCCCTTCCATACACCGAGAATCTTTTTGTAAAACCAGAACCCAGCTTATGTCCAACCTGTCAGTGCTTGCATGGCTTAACTAAGCTTTTCTGTGTCCAGTAAGAATTTGATTTAATCAAAGTGAAAGTGAAGTCAATACAAAACAAGCAAGTCACACAAATAAAATGTCATCGTCGTCAGATCGTCTGTTTCTTTCTGACATCTCAAGTCATTAGGTATGAACTGAAATAAAGGAAGGGGAATCACATCTGATTATTTTCTTCCCATGCTTCACGAGTTTTGTTTCCTCAGTCGTGGTTTTGCAACGTTTTTGTGTCTGTGTGGTCATTTTCTGAAGCCCGTTGTATTTTTGCTTTACTTCCTGTTTTATTATGATATGGCTTCTTTGTGGAATCAGCTGAGTTTAAGCAAAATCGTTTTTAAGGACCCTTCATTTTTTATCATTCACAGGCCCACAAGAGACCCATTTTATATTGTAATCTCTCATTGGTAATATGGGGGTAACACTGGATATGGGAACCTTTCGTTAGAGTTAGATTGGGGAAGAACATGGATGCAGGAAGTAGATCTTTAAGAATAAAACCTCTCATGTCTTAATCCATGGATAGTTTTCAACCAAAAATGTAACCTTGCCCTGTCCCAGGAGCAGTTGTGGTTTGATTTGCATTTAAAATGACAGGCGACAAAGCACTAAAAGGGATGCTGAATATCAGATAAAGTAACCAGATCAACCAGTTGTCAAAACATTTTCTGTCATTTGATTTCTTGTCAGACAATCAGTAGGCCTACAACAGCTCTCTGTTAACATTAAAACATTTTTTTAATCGGACGATATACCTTTGATAAAACAGGAACAATCACTCATATTTTTAAAAAATCTCTCTGGGGCCCCTCAGAAGTTGTGGGGCTAGAGGAAGCTATTTAGTTTGCCCGTGGAGAACTGGACTGGATTCGCTGCAGTCTTGTTCTGAATTAGTTTTTAAAAGAACCCATACACAGACATTACAGCACAGTCCATTCATCTGTTTAGCTTTTTCATTTAAGATAGAATGAGCCAAGAATAAATCCAAAAAAACACAGTCAGCAATGGCAGATGCTACATTAAAGGTCATGTAACTACAAACAGTGACAAATTACAGCCAGTTGGTCATCTTAACCCCGTCTCATATTTATACAGACGGACCGGCAAGCAGCAGGGACCTGAGCGGGGTTTGTTCATCCATTAACCATAAGGGAGCTGATCTGCTCCGGCAACGTGTAGACGATGAGGACGAGGAAAAGTGTGAGGATGGCGAGGATGACCAGGGCAATGATGTACTTCTTGTAATTTTTCCAGATGAGGAAGATGAAGGTTTTCATCGGGTTGATGAACCAGTTGAAGCTGGTGGTTGGACGACTGGAGAGACAACGGGAGACTCGTTCACACAACAGTTCAAACAGCAGACGGTTCATTTGTGTGTTCGTTGATTAAAGGGAAGCCTTTTGGCCATCCGAAACAGTGAGAGTTTGTGTGTAAATGTGTGCGTGTTACTTTGGTTTGTCCAGGGGCTCCGGCTCTTTGCGGGCCCGCCCCACAGGGTTGGCCTCGGCCTGCTCCAGAGTCACCAGCTGAAGCTCCGCCTCCACCTTCCCCTTCACAAAAACAGCTCCAGGTCACACCTGATCGGGTTTAAGTCTCCACATTTTGGAGCTTCATAATCAGATTGTTTTCAGTAGGTCCAATAATATATAAGAAAATATAAAAAGATTTCTTAAAGCCTTGTGTGAAAAAAAAGAAGTTTGAAGCAGTTTCACTTTTGCAACACAAAATTCTGCTGCTTTAGGTTTAAGCTATTGAGTAAATCTTATTAATGAGACACTTGATTTGGCCATTGCATCCTACATCTTCACATCCTGTGTTCATCATTAGAACAGTTTGACTAAAGTTCATACAAACATGTTGTCACGGAAGCTGTTTTATACATTTACCATTAACAGGAAAGTGTTGCCCATGTTGTCGGTGTACTGGATGTCCTCCGGTCTCAGTTGGCTCCTCTTGTTCTTGGGCTTCTTTTTCTTCCCCTTTGTCTTCTTCTTGGCCTCCTCTCTCTCTTTCTCCTCCTTCTCAAAATCCTCCGCCGTCTTCAGGCGCACCAGCGGCCACCAGCCCTTCATCTTCTTGGCCCGAAAGATGGAGAAGCGCGGGCTGGCCCGGTCCTTCGCCATCTCGATCGTGCATTTATTGGACGACTTTGCTGGCCGTACCATGTCGCCGAGGCGCATCTCTATGGAGCCTGAGGAGGATGAAGGGAGGAGCGGGAGGATTTTAGGGCCACGCTGAACGCTCGCTTTCAACAGATAGTTCGATTAAACAAGCTCGACACAATGTAAGCTGGCTTTTCAGCTGGGGGTTGAGCCTCTGAAAGTTTTTGGAGAACAGACTGATTCAAAATGGACGATGGTGTTTCCCTTCATTACCCAGAAAGTCGTTTGCTGCGATGCGGTCGTAGTCCCAGACCTGCATGGTGAGAGCAGCCGGCTGGCGAAACTCTGACTCCTCCAGAGAGAAGATGGACTCCTTCTTTTTGTACACAACCTCTTTCTAAAAGGGGAGAAGAAATGTTTGGTAATCATGGAGAAGGACATATTTTTGATGAGATCAATCCTATCATATACACCACATCCCATCGGTTGAATGCAAAGATGGTAAAATAGCCCACAAAGTTTTCAGATCATTAGAGATCAGAATACCAAGCCACACTCTGCTTGCCAGTTCAGAACTCTGTTCACGAAAACGTTCCAGTTAACTGTGAAGTCTCTCCAAAACCTATGCAAATATGAATATTTTCTCACTAATTCTACAGAAAACTGAAAATAAAATAGTGGCAGACTGTGGTGAGACTGCAGTGCTTTGCTTCAAAATGAATGGATATGAACACACAGGTGGAAGAATGGAAGTCAGGATGGACAGATAGGATCAAGTGGTTCCTTTTTTTGTAATCTATAACCATATAACCAGAATTTTATGCCCAAAAAGGACTTGGAAACTGTCCCTGGAGAGGATTTTCATCCTTTTATCAGTGGAACATTACAAAATATAGCTGCCCCTCTCATAAATCTTATCCTTTATACGTCCCAATCTGTATGTACGACTCATTGCTTTAGATTCTAGGACCCACAACATTCTCATTGTATGCACCTCAGTTGGGAGATAGTCGAAGCGGAAAACAAATCTCCAGTTGAAGTTTCCCTCCCCGGTCAAAGAGTTGAAGTGGACATCAGTCTCCTGTTTGTCTCCTTCCAGACCTTTGATCCAGCTGCAAAGAGACAACAGCACAACACGCGGCCTGGATTCACAAAGCCTGTCATAGCTGTGCTCGGAGCCGCCAGTCTAAGCCGAGCGGGCTCTTTTTGAGGCCGTTTTTTGGGAATCTAACCCTTTAACATAGATGTCCGAAGACGGGTCGCCGGTGAAGGGATTGACGTCGTCCAGAAACACGTCGTCAGTGTTCCAGATGATGACCCGCAGCTCGTACCTGCCACAAGAAAAAAAAACACATCCCAGATCAGTGTCAGACGATTCCCCTTTGGGTCCTCTGCTCTCAGCCGTGTGTTGACGTACTGTTCAGGTAGGCGGGGCTTTATGTCCACGGGGGGCGGGGCCGGAACATCAGTGGGGAACATGTCCACCCACATGTGAAGATTACCCTGCAACACACACAAACACACACACACACACCACGCATGAGGCCCAGTGGGACCAGAGGCAGCTTCCTGCCGTAGGGGCCTGCGTGCGGGCTACCTGGGGGAGTCCAGGGTTGTCCTGGTTCAGCAGAGGCCGGACCTCCACGTGCTCCGGCACCAGACGAAGGGCGCCGGGGAGGAACTCGCTCATCTCCGCCCAGCGCTGCAGCACACTCAGCGCCGCGTGCTCCTCCATCTCCTCCTCCTCCGCTGGAGACCGCTGGTTCTTCTTCAGGAGACCTGAAAGGAACAAACTTGCTACTGATTCAGATTCTGGTTGATGCTCATTGTTTGGTCAGAGATCTCTCAAGTTTAAAGGTCAAGTTTAAATGAGCATTAGTCACTAGTAGAAGTAAACGATTCTGTTTTCAGATGTCCATAACGTGGGTGATAAAGGGCCAGTCACTTCAGGCTTCTTATACTTCTTACACCTCCCTGTCTCTCAGCCTTAAAACTGTAGATTTTTCTGTCACTCTTACCTTCGGGCACAGCATCTGGAGGTATTTTGAAGATCTTGTTGAGTACCTTGACTTCAGATGCTCGATACTCTGGAGATGGGATGCAGTTTTTCCTGCAGAGCTCGGTCAAGATCGTTGACGGCCTCTTTGCATCCCGCCACTTATTGTAACCGTCCCTTCACAAAGAGGCAGACAAACGCGGTGGATCTGCTATTAACACCTCATAGTGCTGAAACTTATACATCTCAGTGGTTTTTTAAGGTAAAAAATCGTATAATTAAGATACCTAAAAAGTAGTCTTGTACCGATACGAAATGAGGGAAATGGAAATGGAATTAAACTACATAAACAACACTTTTTTTCCCAAAGCGAAATGATAAAGTTGAATTATCATCATGATGACGATGATGACATTATGATTATTATTATTTGTGTACACCATTAATCTGCTAAAATGCTCCAACTAATGATGACACATTCTAGTTTTCCTGGTTTTAGTACTAAACTGTCAAAGTACTGGTACTTAAATGATCCAGTTTGGGTTATAATGCATCAGGTTTTTATTTTAACCTGTGAATAGTTAGGCCGTTGTTGTGTTCTAGAGCTAGTTCTAGTAGATCTGTTACTTATGTGCTCTGACATATTATAACTTTAATGCATATCAATTCTATAGTTAATTCTAAAGATTCATAGACTTATTACAGCTGTATGCAGAGGTACTCACGTGTCGTAGTAGCAAGCCAAGCCGCAAGACGCCCTGTGGCGACTGTAGAACCGGTTCTCCAAATCAACCCGAGTCTCACCGATAACATCATCAGATCCCACGAGATCGTGATCCATCACTATGACAGCCAACTCTGTCTCCAGTGGGAAAGACACTGTGAATTCAAACACCCTGAAAGACAGAATCAGACAATCAGAGGGGGACAGAGTCAGCTGGACAGACTGGTGATGAACTGGTACTGACTCTCCAAATATTGGATTGAGCTGTTTGGGGATGTATCGATCTTTGGAGTCCAGACTTTGTTCTCCCACCTTCAACACAAGGTATGGGTCGGCCTTACCGTTCGGGTCTTTGGGGGCCAGGTTTGTGGCCTGCAGAGCACAGACAAACATAATCACTGCCGGGAAAGCTGGTTCTCTGATGAGAAATAGTCATTTACAATGTTTAAAAGAGATACAAAATCAACCGTTAAATGTCTTGAATTGTAAAATTATTACTTTAAAATATAAAAGTTTTGAAACAAAAAAAAAAACATTATAGTGCATGCTTAACAAATTATAAAACAAGGGGGGAAATGTTTAATTTGCAACTTAAAATCAAATAGTTAAAAAAGCGAAAAAAGCTGCTTGGTCTTGTAAAATAAATTCACGAATAAAAGCCATGAGATGAAGTAAAGAGGAATCTGTGGGTGTCTAACACACATAACTCTTCACCAGCAAAAAGACAAACAACCCCTTAGGAGACAAACACATTACCAGATGATCGAAACAAATCAAAATACTTTGCTTAAATGCCCAAACCACTGTCTGTATCTGCGATAGGCACCTTCACGATGTAGACGCGCACTAAGACTTTGATTGGTGAGTTTTTGGGGATCCCGTTGATGATCTGACACGTGGTGTCCTCTTGCTCTTCTGGTTCAATCGGATACACCAAAAAGGAGCCCTGAGGATGAAGAGCAGGACACGATAAAGACTCCTCAGCACAAATACCAACAGGAAAGCAGCGCACACACGGCTCCGTCGGCAGCACCTTGTATTTCCCCATCTGCCTCTCCTCGTCATCCTCGTCGTCTTCCTCAAAGCTTGCTCTGCCCTTATACAGAGGAAATGTCTTCAGCCAGTCCTGAAACTGACTGAACTCTGACTCCAGATCACCGTCAAATAGCTGAACACAAAAGCAAAGGGTGCACAGCTTATTCAGTCCACATCGGAGAAGCTACTGCTACTGAAGTGACTGCAGCTGAGACTAACTGAGTGGAGACGGGTGTTCACAGGAACCCACAAAATAAGCAGAACTTCAAAAAACAAGAATATTATAGCTCCAGAACTCATGAGTGAAACTAAAAATCAAAATACAAACCAAGACTTGAAAAACACAAACAGAATATTTACATTTAAAAAAACAAAATCCAAAGTCCACAAACCCTAACGTGTTCAGTAGAAGCTAAACGAGAGTCTTTCAAATTCGATCAAATCTGTTTATTTTATCTTTACAGCAGCGAAAATATACATATTAATTACTCTTGGGAGATTAAAAGATTCCCTCTGAGAACTGATCTTTCCATCTGTTAAGGTGATCAAAACTGTGGATCAATGTTTCCCAGGCCAGGTCCTCCAGGATCAGGTCTGTCTTCCACGTATGTCCAACATGTATTCCATGTTTCCCTGTTCCTGCACACCTAATTCAAAGAAATGGGTCTTCATCGGCCTTCTGCAGAGCTGTCCTATTCATGTGAATCAGGAAACATGGAAAACATGCTAGGCGGTGGGCCTGGAGGACCTGGTCTGGGGAGCACAGCTATAGACAACCACGATGAAGGCTTTCATTAAAGTAAAAAACTGTCCTAATTGGGACTGAAATGGTTTACTGCTTTCTTCAGCTCAGTGGTTTAGCTGCTGAAAACCTCCCACCTTCAATGTGGCAATTTTTTTGCGTTTGGGAGGCTTGACCTCAACCACCACGGCCTCCTCTTCCTCCTCTTCGATGTTGGCCATGGTCAGAACCGTTCCATCTGCACAAAGCAGAAAACTCCAGCATCAACAGCCGTCACTCACCTTTCTGGGACATTTTTACTCATTTTTTACTCATGTCCTCTTCCCTAACCCTAACCCTATCACATACACCCTCTGTAGGAAGCAAATTCCACACCAGTTCCACAGAAGTGTTCCAAATGAAAGTGTATTTACAGGTGGGACAAAGTGTCTGTCAAGTCCTCAAAACTCGCATACATAGAAAAATATGTAAGGCATTTATTTAGTACAAAAAACGTATTAATGTTTGTATTTTCTTTAACTCATTGTGACACTGGTTGTGACTGCAGAAATAGCTCTTTATTCAAATCTAAACTGTACCCAGTTCTGCATGTTCATCCATCTCTTCTTTTTCAGCGACCTGCAGACAGAAACACATCAATCCAACTGATTGAATACTTTGAATCGCTGAATTATTCTCATACTGTAAAAAAAAGTTCTGTTAACTGTCTAGAATTCAAGAGAACATGCCCCTAATTCATTTATGTTAGAAATGCTGAATTAACCCTGATAATTTGTTTTGTGTGGCTTGTTTTTCCATTTTCAAAATATAGAATTTCGCCCTTTAACTGGCAAACTGATTTAGTTTTTTTTTAACTCAATGCTTATGAAATTTAGTAGGACAGGCAAAGGTACGACTCACCTGCTTCTCCATCTCCTCCAGTGAGGCGTAGTACTTTGACCACCAGTCCAACTCCTCCATCTCAGGCGCCTCCTCCTCCAGCTCCTCCCCCTTCTTTTTCAGCCTCTTCAGGGGTGCCTGAAAATGTGTGTTTGCATGGATCAACACAGGATCCAATGCAATATTGCTCCAATGAACTTTTTTTCATCAGTGTTTTAGCCACAGAAATGGAAGCAGTGCCCTCTCACATTGACCATCTTGATGGGGTTGATGGGAATCCTGGACTGCGCAACCGTCAGGGCGCTGAGTCCAATGTTCGTCACGGATGTCAGAGGATTAATGTTCACCAAACTTTGTCTCGCTGGAGAGATGAACATGAAAGCCAAGTTTGTAAAAATCTTTATAAAAGAAAAAAACTCCCACTTCCATAAATCTGTGCATCTGGAAACAATGGATCAGTAGTTCAGATGTCACAGAAGTTGTAACAAAGGGGATGTGGCCTAAAGAAAATGCTGGTAAAAACCTGCTGGACACAAACTGAAACAATAGCAAATTACAGGGTGTCCTTTAGTTGTTGTGTCCACAGACTTTAGAGTTCTTACGTTTTGGTCTTCGCACTTCCTCTTCCTCCTCCGTTTCTCCCTCAGGGTCCCGAGGGGCATAGTCCATGAGGTTCTGGACCACATGGGACCCAACCAGAGCAATCTGTCCAAAAGACCGATGCTCCACCACAAACACTGTGAGAGGAGGGTGGAGGTAGGACTGCTCCGGCAGCTCCTGCGTTGGACCAATCAAAGAAAGGTGGCAAAAAAAAACAGTTGGGAAGATGAGGGTTTTGTCCATTGGGTTTTCCCAAATGGAACCGTTTGAGCCAGATTCGAAGAGCTTTAAGAAAAAACTGACCACATCAATATAACGGACCACTTCCTTGAAGTTGGGGTTGGTCTTGTAGCTCTGGATTTCCTCAGACTCCAGCTGCCGTCCCGCACACTCCACCCTGACCAGGGGGTGATCCACCTCAAAAAGCTGCACCCGTTTGAGCTCCCGCAGGCCCCAGAACAGCACCTGAAAGCACAACCAAAACCTCACGGCGGGGCTCCTCAGAGCACATCTGCTATGCGCCGTCAGTCGTCTGCTGCTCTTCACCTCGATCCTGAAGGTTTTCAGGACAGGACGCACTCCCTCTGGGATGCAGTAAGATTTCTGCTCATCCACATAGGTCAGCTCCTGAGGGTCCACGCTGACGGGTACACATGGCTGCAGATGGGAGAGGACTCTTTCATTAATCAGCTTCTGTTACTTCTATTACTTCTATTACTATTAGTCTGTAGTGTCTGTGTGGAAACAAATTAATAACTGTTTTTGCCTCTGTTTGTGCCACATATCCCAGTTCTTTATATGTTTTTTAACCTCCATAATCAGACTTTAAACACTGAATGTCTAAAGCTAAATCTGTAAAGAAAAAGTCCACTTAAAGCAACTAGAACCTCAGTTTGTGATCTTATCTCCAGAGCATCAAGAGACACAGCTACAAACACTGACTGATAGACACACTCACCTCTCCAAATCCAGAGTAGTCGAGTTCAATGAGCTCGAAGGTGGCCAGCAGCTCTCCTGCAGGAAGTCTTCCACTGCTGATGTCAAAGAAGCGGAGCTGCGGCTTTTCATAGAACTGCTCCACAGTTTTGAACTCCGGCTGGGCAAAAGCCCGACCAAGTGGTTTCGGGCTGCCCTGCGAATGCACACACAGACACACACACAGAAAGACAAAAGTGGAAGAATTTCAGACATCTTGAACATTTTCCCCCTCATTTCTTTTCATGATATCTTCCAAAACTCGAATGAAATCTAATTAGACCAGCCGGTGATAGTTTCCATTTTCTTTTAATTCTCAGCCACCACCGATCATAGTTATTACTCTGAATCCTCATGGATGTTTTCCAAAATGCAGTTTGGGAGATAGAACTTTCTTTCTTTTTTTTTTTTAATGGCAGCCTTTTGTTTAAAAATTAACAAGAGAGTACATTGTGCAGCCTTCTAGCGCTGATCAGTTTAAGAAAAGCATCACAGGGTTACCATGGTGTCATGGTCATAGACGTTGATGACAATGAGGGGCGGGTCTTTTTGAATCTGCTCTTTGGTTCCTTCTAGCAAAACTCTGTCGAACAGCAAACACTCACACCAGGAGGGGGAGAGGGTGTCCGGCAGCACCTGGACACACAAATGCAGCTCATTTTACACGGAATGTTTAGTTATATTTACAAGTAGCTGATAATAGAAGCCAAGTAATAACAACCATTCTCTCTGCAGGCTGAAGGAGAACTACAACTAAACATAGTCTGTGTTAAGAGCTGGAGATGAAACAAATCCTGTTTATTGATTCCTTACCCTGGTGCCCTGACACTGTGTAGAGAAGACCACCTTTGCAAAAGGATCTGAAAGGCCGTCGTCATCGGCGGCTATCAGGCCACGCCCCTGGTACAGGTGGCATCTGAGCTGGAAGTATCTGCTGTCTACAAAAACCAAGATTCATAGAGGCTTAAGAGAGGTTCGGCTTTACCTGGCCAGGACCAGAAGCGACCAATACTCTGGGAGGGCTTAGCTTTCTCACCCTGGCAGGACAGACTAATGGGAAGCTGCATTCTTTCATCCACTGAGACCAGCCCCCTCTGGGCTCCCTCTTCCTCCTCATATATGGGCAGGAACTCCTCTGGCAGGCTGTTGATGACCTCTTTACAGTACTTGAGAGTACCAAGCCAAAGGTAAACCTCCAGCTTTGCAAAGATCTCACTTGCTGAACATCCAGGTGACTAAAGGGACAGAAAGACACAGCAGCAAGCAGAAGACAAAGAGTGAGTTTTAGACATGATGAACGAGTCAGAAAGGTTGATACCACCAAAGATTTCAGAGATGAACCTGATGGAGAGGAGAGTTAAGGTCGGCATTGCAGTATTAAACAGGAATCACAGTCAAAACTGTTTATTTGATCATGTGTGAGAGAGTATGATGAGAAGTGTTAGCGAATTTGTTCTGTTTGGGTTCATTATTATTATATTTTAAGCCTGGCAACATTTGTCTGAATCAGTCACGTTGAAATCAATGGAAAATCAAAGATCCTCTAACAATGAAACTTATTTAATGGTGTTAACTTCCAGTCTTTGGTTTAAGGTTTGTGAACACTGTACACATGGATGTATGTCAGTTTGGATTTGTCCTTGCATTATTTAATCATGAGAGCAAAATGCGTTGATGATTAAATATCATAAATGCCCCACAAATGTCTCGGGTTGGATGAGCATCTTTCATCTATAGTATGAGAGTTGACAAAACTTTGAGGTGTCTTTCTTTCTCTCTGACTTATTTTGTCTGGGTTACTGATGGATGCTCAGATCTTTTATCACCTGCCTGCCACATGTTCAGTTAAACTGTCCTTAAATCCAAATGAAAGATCTTAACAATTCTTGCCCGCCTGGATTAGTTTACTTTTGCATCCTCCCTCCTGTTTTCATTTGACACAAACCAACAAGATAATTTCAGGTATTGACAAATGTGTCAGGGATGACTTCAGATGTGTAACCTTCATGTAGAGCGTGGTGATGCGTCCGCAGTCCCGCCCCTTTTGCTCCTCCACCAATGAGAATAGGATGGAGTGAGCAGGGATCCTGACGTAAGCCAGTCGCTTGCTCCCACTGAGCAACCAGAGAAAAACGTCCGGGATGGTGCTCTGGGGCTGGAGAAAGTGAGACATTAGAGGGAAAATGTTAGGCCTAAGTCAAACTGGACATCCGGTCTTTGTGGAAATGGACAACTGAGAGGGGACGTCGGACCTCCGCGGCCAGCTGGCGCAGCTTCTTCAGCAGTTTCCTGCCATCCATTAACTGCTGCTTGGCAGACTTTCTGGTAACCCTCCGCCTGGCCCTGACCGCCTGTCTGGCTAGCAGGATCTGGAAACAGTCGGGCAGTTAGCAGGACAGAGAGATGCAGGCAGCCATCAGGCAGAAACAAACACAGAACAAGCTCACCAAACTCTTCTTGATGAACTCCTTTCTGCATTTGTCTAAACTGTTGGGACGGAACTGAGATCTCCTCTCTGAGAAAGCACTGAACTGTCTGCAGAAAGTCAGAGAGACATCAGAAAGATGCAGCCAGAGCTTCAGAATGGGAGACAGTAAAGATAATGAAGCAATAAAGAAAACAGCTTATATGTTCAGGTGGGGTGGGGACTGACTTGCAGGAGGCCACCAGTTCCAGCAGAACCTCAATCAAACGCTCCTTTGCTTTGCTCCTCGGCCTCCTCAACAGGATTTCCACCTCCTCTAGACCAAGCTCCTGAACGAGGAGGGGAGAGAGATGTAGAGGATGCTGTACACATCACGCCATTTATGAGAAAAACTCTCACCAGCCTGTCGGCCATCTTGCTGAGCCAGTTTGCTTGATAGAGACGGAAGGTGTGATCCTCAAACTGACTCCAGACAAACAGACAAGGCTTTGGTTTGACAGAGGGGGGCTGGAGCTGAAGACACTGGAATGAACTGAAATTTAGACCAAAGAGACCCAAAGAGAATCATTACCTTTTTTCTGGGTATATCAGGTCATAAAGTAAAAACCGAAAAGGGAAGGTGAGGAACTGGTTTTATTTTCCAACCCACAGCAGCTGCTAACCATCCCACTTGCTAGAATAATCAGGGAAAGTTGGATTCATTGTCATGCTAAACAAAATGTCAACCAAGGACCATGCAGTGTCTGAAAGGGGAGCACAACCCTTTTAACCATCTAAGCCATTGTCAAGAAGGGCTCCATTCTGTCGCCGTAGACGACGGTTTCACCTGATCAGGTCTGCAACAGCCTCCTGTCTCCAGAATGATATGGAGCACCTGAAATGTCTGTTTGTATTAATGTGAGGTTGAAAATAGTTGTAACATTTTACCTGTCATACTCGGTGGGCTGAGGTCTCATCGAAGCGGACACAGATCTATTCTCAGCTTCAGGATTCTGCACTTCCTCTCGGTCCAGCTCATCGTCTGACGCTATGAGACCCCGTGTGTCCTCATTCAGATCTTCACAGCTCCTCCTCAGCTCCTCCCGGCTTCTTCTCAGCTCTTCTCTGCTTTGGCTTTTTTTGGATTTCCCAACTCCCACCGCCTTCCCACAATTTCCTGTCAAATATTTTTTTTAAGTCAAGCATTTCCAGGCTTTGATGCTTTAAGAAAATTGTAACATTTAACATTCAGACTTAATCAAACTAAGCTTTGCACAAATTCTGCTGTTCAGGGTTGATACTTGCTGAAAACATGTGCATCCTCTGAGCAAAATCCAAAATGGTCATGTGCAACCTCTCTGGGTCTTCAAACTTACAACTTACATCATCCACACATCACGGCAAGTTTACCTATCGAGAGTTCAAAGGCGAGTGGTTTTGTTCCTACAGATGGGTCAATCATGGTGACTTCAAACAGAGTTGCAAACAGCAGAAACTCCTCCTTTTGTCCCAAAAAACCCTGAGGAGCACACGAAAGAAAAACGTGTGAAAATAACATTATAAGGCTTTTAACCTTCTCTGAGGGAGACGATCGACCATCGAAATAATGCTGTTGTCAAGTTTGTGAAATGATGAAAATGAGAGACCAGAAGAAAAAGAAAAAAAAAAAGCAGGTGGAAAGAAGCAAAGAGAATATTCACGCAAATGAAAAGAGGTTTCGATTGGCTGCTGTTGATGGGTTGGTGGTGATCGCACTGACCTCAGGGAGAGGGTGGATCTCCTCCACTTCCACAGTAACAGACTGTGGTACCTCAATGCCTGCCTCCCCCGAGTCATCAGCCGGTCCGCTGGCAGCTGGAGAGGCTGTGACATCAGTTATTTAAACATTTTTAGCAAAAACACCACTGATATGCACTATTGGTAGAGTTTTGGAATGATCTTAATCTGCTTGTGTTTCTGATTTAATTGAATTTGTTTGCTGAGACATATTTAAAGTCAAATATTTACGTGTCTCCTGGATTAAGATCTTACCCTCCTCTCTCTTTTTCTTCTTGCTGCTCTTCCTCTTCTTTAGTCCAAACTTTCCCAGCGTTCCTTTCACCTTCAAGGACAAATAAGGAAAAAAAATGGACAGATTTAATAAAGGTGCTGAACAGGAAGCTGCTCATAAACTGGCAAAAAGCCTCCCAGTCTGAGGAGACATTTCTGTCACTGGGAAGTTTTGACTTTTCCAACAACCAAGCTCCAATGAGAGGTACCTTTGCCATGGCAGCAGAGCCTGTATCCGTGGAGACAGCAGAGGGAGAAGAGTAAACCTCCATGCAGAGAGCGAGCAGGATTCTCCCTCGATAGAAGATTCCCTCCCCCAAACCCTCATTTAGTGCCTGAAAAAGATGGGGCAACAATTATTTTTCCTGGGTTTGCTCAAACACACACTGACTACCAAACAGGGCTGGAAGTCACAGACGATTAGATGAGCTGAGTGTGCAGATTCAGGATAAGTGACTCTGACATCAACATCTGTAAAACTGATTAATAATTTTAAGTAATTTTGTTTGTCCATTAAATTAATAAAAGTGTAAAGTGTAAAAGACTAAAGTCTCCATTTTTTAAAGTAGTTCTCATCGAAAGAGGAACAAGTTGCATTTCAAAAAGAGAAAATGATGATCTTTAATGTTTTAATTGTTTACCTGGTGGACGTCACCAAGTGTCGAGTTCTGAGGAGAACCATAAAGATTAACCCAGCTTGGACCAAAAGTGGGGTTAAAGCCTGCAGATAAAAGACAAGAAATATTCAAAGCATAAGGGTAAAAAACTAAAGAATTATTCCATTCACCATAAATTACCACAGGGAGGGACAGGTGGGACATGCCCCTTTCATTTCTAAAGCTTTGAGTGCTCATGTTCAGGCCTTTTATCACAATTAAAAGGTCAAAAAGGTGCTTTGGACTGATTCAGGGTACCATTCCTGGTGGGGTCAGAAATCTGCTGCAGGTCAAGGAAGTGCGTTGCCAGGGCGATGTCTCCCATCTTGGCATCATCGAGTATCTGGACTTTGATTCTCTGAGCCAAGGGAGGAAACTGCTCAATGAAGGAGATCTCCTCGTTCCAAACTGGGCAGTTTGTGGCGCTGGCAACTGAAGTTTCCCCCTACAAACACACAAGTGCATCATTGTTTCATTAGCATCCAAACTAAGGCATTAAATCTGGAACTAGAAGGACATTTGGTGGAGATTAGGTTTGTAATTACATTGAAACTAAACATGAACAGAGGTCAGATTAGAAAAAAAATAATGAAATTGAAAAAATTGTTATCCAGAAGATTAAGATGACAATCCTAAACCACTTCATTAAAACAAGGATACATGTTTCTGAGTACCTGCTGTCCAGCGAAGGTCACCTGGACGTAAGGGTCAATGAACACGGCCCGGTCTGTCACAGACATCTTTGCCATAAGCCCGGCCTCCATGGTGGGCAGGCCCTCGGCCCGGTAGATCCGGATTCTGAACCGAGCCCATGGACGTTCAGAGGGCATACCACGAGGAAGCAGCAGGTTTCTTCAACAAAAATCCAAAGTAAGAAACAAATAAACATTCTTACCTTATTCCACATTGCAGACCTGGTTATAAATCAAATATAGGCCTCTCAGACTCTTAAGGGGACGTTTTATGTTTCATATTTCAGGATAACACAGAATTATCTGATCTCATCTTTTGTTTTTAGGAGACATTGCAATTCCACAAAATTGTAAGTAACCTCTTCACCAGGTCTGCTTCTGCCCAACCAAAACTCTGAGGTCTTCTGAAAAACACTTTCTATCATACCAAAACTAAAAATCCAAACCCATGGTAAGCCGTGCAACGATTCTTCCAGGTATTTTGAATGAATGCGATTCAGAATATGGACCATAATTCTTTCTTTGTGAAGCATTTTGTTCTCCAGTTAATTCAGATGGATAGTGCTACAGAAAGTGTGATGGATTGACGATGTGACGCACTTTTCTATGTCCTCGCTGCCTCCGGAGGAGGAGGCCGCTGGCAGGCCAGGCATGCGCAGAGCATCTCCCTTCATCAGCACGCTGAGGCTGGCCTTGACGTAACCCTTCACCCCGGACCTGGTGTCTGCAGGGTCGGTGAGAGGAGCCCACTTCTGGTAGAAGCGGTGGTCTGGGGGGGAGCGGAGAGGTCAAGGGTCAGTGAGCGTCCCGGTCAGCTAAAGGTTCGGCCTTGTGAGCGGCACTGGCACCTGGCTGGATGTACACAGTGGAGAGGTCGACCTTAAAGGTTCCGATGTGGGTCATGAGAAAGGCCAGAGTCCGCCTGTGGAAAACCTGATAGGACACAGCATCGCAGGTCATCTCACTGGCCGTGACCTGGCGTCTCAGACGGCGGCTGGGGTGTGAACGTGGGTGAAAAAGATGAAAGCGGGACTGACCTTTATCTCTATTACTTTATCAAAGACGTTCTGGGGAGCCTCCAAAAACTCAAACTGGAAGTTCTGAAAGAGCAAAAAGAGAAATTACTCTTCTTCATTCCACCATGCACAACTGTACATGTTATCCAAACCTATTCCACGGGACATAAAACTACAAACTGCCTAATTTTACACTTAATTTACTCAAATTCTGTTGATTTTTTAAAATCCTGACCCCTCATCAGGTTTAGAAGCACTGTCCTTATATATACTGTATTCTTATTCTCTTTGTGTCTAACTGTACCTTCGATAAAAATGCTTTACAGCCTTTCAGATAAGATTAGCTGGTGTTGTACTTTGTGTTGTTTTCTACTGTTTACTTTTCTAAACCAGGGGAAAGCTGAGCTGTGGTCCTGCAGTGTGCTACGTGGTGCGCTGCAGTAGGTGGGGCTCCGGTTTGTTGTGCTGTACCTCGTTGTAGAACGGGCAGTTGGTGGATTTCTGCGTCGCCGTGTGCTTTTTCTGACCTCCCACTATGACGAAGACCGCAGGGTTGATGTTCACACCGACAAGCTTCTGAGCCTCGAGGATGTTCACGTTCACCTGCGTCACACAGTTTAGTTCACTCATGTCCAGGCACGACGGCTGAGGCCTGCTGCCGATCTGCAGCTGCTATTGATCTCCAGAAAAACTAGGAAAGCCCCAGATCCATCCATCCACGGATGGACGGTCCACCTGTCCATCGCAGGGCCACACAGAGACACACAAGGACCAACAACCACGCACACTCAAACTCACTAAAGGCAGTTTGGAGTGTCCAATCAACCTAACATGCAGGTTTTTGGACTGTGGGAGGAAGCTGGAGATCCCAGAGAGAACCCACGCAGACACAGGGAGAACATGCAAACTCCACACAGAAAGGTCCTGGTTCCCCCGGGGACTCAGAACCCAGAACCCTCTGGCTGTGAGGTGATGGTGCTAACCACTTTGCTGCCCGGAAAGCCCCAGATTTAGCTGATAATTCAGCATAGCGTGGTTACTTTGATCTCATTTTGCACACTTTAACTGTGATTTTTTTAGGGTAAAAAAGGGACCAGGGACTCTCTGAATGAACCCACCTGGAAACTCTTGACTCTGGGGACTGCAGCAACAGCGCTTCTGGATGGCGGCCTGCAACGGCTACACTCACACACAAACACACACACACACAAACACAAACACACACGCAGCCGACAGCTGGTCAGTTTTCAAACGGCCCACTCGGATCTAGGTACTTCGTACATCCATTGACACTGACCTTAGAAGTGTCGTAAACACAATGTTGGAAGCCTCCAAATCTAACAGGTCATCATCATAATCATCATCATCCTCGTCTTCATCCCCGGTCCGGACCAGACTTTGACCCAGATGACGTACTTCTCTCTCCAACTGATCCGTGCGAGGAGCGATTTGGCCGCTGCCAGAGGAAAGAGTTCTGCTCACATCTGACTTTAATTCATTTACACACCGGCATCCAGCTGTGCGTGCATCTGCTACTGATTGGAGTGTGAGTGTGTGTGTGTGTGTGTGGGCATGAACAGCTGCATTTTGAAATTTCAAAGATCAAAAACTGATGAAACAAAAAAGCCCTTTTTTCTGCATCGTGATGCAGGTGATGGAGACAAAATACCTACTGATCTCTGGCACATCTAGAAAGATGATCATTTCAGAATATACTGAGATCCACCCAACAGAGGAAGTCAGTCAACAAATCACAGACTACACTTAAAGTGTCCAATCTGGGTTAAGGACAGCAGAAGTTTCACGTCTAAAGCACCGAAACAGCAGGAATGCTAGATTTTATTCAAATGTCAACGTGAGTTTCAGTTTGGATTTCAGCAACCCGGAGCTGTGTAAAGATGTTCGATTTCTGTCTGCGTTTTGACCATTTTCAAAGTCAAATAACGGATGCGTGAGTCAGGTGAACTCACCTCTCGAGGTCATCAAACGCCTGATTCCTGATGACCAGAGCCGATCTGAGGATGAAGAGGGAAAAAAGGGGAATATTTTAACCCATTTCTGCAGGTCGGCACTCATTCTTTATGAATATCTCTTTTAAAGAAATAAAGAAATCCAAGTTTAGAAAATAGGATATTCATTAAACTTCTTATAACTGAGAACTTAATAATTTTACAAAGATTCGTCCATACAAAGCTGACAGAAGCAACTTATAAAAAAAATATTTAATGTGCTTTTATAAATAAAGTTATCCTATTTGAGAAAAATTTGAGACAAGAAAGTGGGGCCAAGCTGCAGACAATTGCTCCATATTTTTATTTCAAAGAAATTAGAGCCTTTTGGTCCAACACTTGGGGCGGCACGGTGGTGTGGTGGTTAGCACTGTCACCTCCCAGCAAGAGGGTTCTGGGTTCGAATCCCGGGGGAACCAGGACCTTTCTGGGTGGAGTTTGCATGTTCTCCCTGTGTCTGCGTGGGTTCTCTCCTCCCACAGTCCAAAAACCTGCATGTTAGGCTGATTGGAGATTGGGGAAATTGCCCTTAGGAGTGAATGTGAGTGTGAGTGGTTGTTTGTCCTTGTATGTCCTGTGTGTTGCCCTGCGATGGACTGGCGGACTGTCCAGGGTGTACCCTGCCTCTCGCCCGTTGACCACTGGGATAGGCTCCAGTTCCCCCCGCGACCCCATCAGGGAATAAGCGGTATTGATAATGGATGGATGGGTCCAACACTTTGTGAATTTAAAGCAAATGATAAGAAGGAAATAAGAGAGAACAGATAACAGATTTCATAGCAAATGTAGAACCACTACCCAATTGGACAGGACTCGCTTATTTTCTTATTTTCTTGGTGTCAGAGTTTGCTATACGTCTGATTGGCGGATTCCTGAAATCCTCAACAATCACCTAAACTGGAGTTAAGACTTAAGAGTGAGAGAGGCGAGGAATTCATCACCGACTTCAGAGTGGTGGCACGGAACCCCTTCCCTTTTCAGTCAGTGGGCCACAACAGTGTTTGAAACATAGAAGTCTGGGTCTCACTCATCGTTGTCTTCGACCCTCAGAAAGTCCTGTCCGTCCCAGCGTCCGGCCGCCCCCTCCACCGGGTGGAACCGGATGTCGAGCTCCACAAAGATCTGCAGAGGAACAGAGGTGACCACAGGGGCCGTGGGCGTCGCCAGGGCCAGGAATCAGCAGCAGCGTCCGGGTGTGTCCTTACGTCGGTCAGGCTGTAGTTGCCGTCGGTCAGCGGCTCTCGTAGTACCAACCTGCCAGAGGTCACCACGTGCTGGAGGCTGACCACCAGCCGGCCGAGCAGCCTGCACACACACAAACGCTCATCAAGGCCAGAGGTTTAGGCAGTCTGAGTTCAGACTCAGTCCTCATGTGGGGGTTTTCTTCTCACCTTCAAGCTCGTTTTCAGACACTTTAAACACATCATTTAGATCTATTGCCACCATTTTAGGACTTTGTGGTGCTTTTGTTTTCTGATCATCACCGATCAACAGAAAGGGTTGGGAGTGTGTGCGTGTTACCTGTTGGAGAAGACCCTGCTGCAGTTGTAAACACTGACGGACAAAACTTCATCCGTGATCACTTTTCCGTAGTGCGGCCAGCGGAAATGCTGCATTTACACAATCAGACAGAAAACAAGAGAAAAATCACACCAGGACACGTGCAAACAAACTTTAGCTTCTTGGTTTTTCATTAAAAAAACATGCGTGGAGATGAGTTAAAGGATTTTTTGTAGGCAATTTTTTTATTCTCAGCTCTAATTGAATTCAAGGAACTTTTTCTAAAAATGATGAGGGCGGAGCCTCTGAGTGACTTGTTCTATGACTTTTGACCACAAGCTCCTTTATGTTGTGAGATTAAACATGGAAAATGTGAACAAACACAGGAAGAGATGCCATCTCTTACTAAGTGCACATCCAAAAAAAAGTCAGAAAGCAGCTAAACTATTACATATGCAGCAAAAAAAATCTTATGAAGGATGTAAATGAATCTCATCTTTTTTTAAAGTAATAAGTGGTTGTAAAATAGTTTTTTGTGACGAAGAGAGAAAGGAAGGAGCTTTTATCAGAGTCTATTGAGCAAATAAATAAACAAAAAGCAGGACTCTACAATTTTCTAGAGTAAAGATTGTAAAAGACACATTTTTAGAAATCAGTTAAATAATTTGACAAGGTGAGCAACTTTTTTTAGATCTAAAGAGTACACCAAACTTCTATCATTGCCTTCTACAATGATCTACTGTCTTTTAACGTCAAACCACTAAAAACATATTTATATGTTGTATAAATCCAATTCAATAAAAACGAGATGAAAATGGGCCTTCTTTTTGTTCCAAACTGAAAAACACAATTTTTTTATTTAGTTTCAATTGTTAATCTTGTAGAAAGAGTCCATTTATAACCTCATGGTTTAATCGCAAGCCTCAAAACTTTCATTTCAAGTCTAAAAATCTGTTGACAACTCAGAATAATTCAAACCAAAGGAAGAAGGAAGCGATCATTTTCTGTCTCCTGTGGACATTTTCCCGTCCGACACGCACGCATGCCCTCAGCCGGTCACACCTGAAGAACAAACATCTGGCTGACTCAGCAGCATGGAGGTGAACCAGAGATCCTCAGAAACAACACGCCTGCTCACGTCACACAAAGGCTACCGTTTTCCACCCCGGCTGCTGGCCGCAAACAAGAGGTGACGCCATGAAACAGGCTTCCGCTCATCAAATATTTTCTCACTGTGAGATAATACAGTTTGTTTAAAGGAGAACCAAAGACTAGAAATCATGCGCTGGGCATTTGAACAGACTGTGAAAAAGCTTCCTCTAACATAGTCAGAAAAACTGCTTTTGTCCGGCTGGAAAATGACTCACTAATCTGCCTCGGGGGGCCACAGCCTGGACATGGGGGTGTCACCTGAGCTGGATAAATGGGCCCACATGGCGGTAAAACCAAGCAAGATGAGCAGAAATGAAGAACTGGAGTGAGAGCACAGATAACAGATTCATTTAGAGCATAAGATGAGATAACAAGCCAGCCAATTTTTATACATTACCTAAGGCCTTGCCCGATAGTATACTGGTGTTTCTGTAAAACTAGCTTAACCCACATTCATTCCCAGAAATATCCAACCACCCAGAACTGATTATGAGATAAATCAAGACAATTACAGCCATAAAATGGATTTTTCACAAATGCCTTTGGGCTAAATTGTTTCTCTTTGAGTTCCAAATTTTCACACCACACTGCCTGCTGAAAATAAGAAACTAAATTAAAAGAATAGTCCCTGATCTTGAATTTCAACCTGAATAATGATTCTAGGTGAAGCATTCAGATTTAACCAAACTTTTTTAAGAGCCACCAGCCAGGGGACGTGAGCGTCTTTATTTTTTATGTCAGAACCAAAACGTTTGATAAAAAATATAAAAATCAGAGGTGCAATTTGATAAGTTAATCACCTTTTCTCCTCAGACAGGAAAAACACTTAATCACATCAGCTGCAGGTGTCTCTGTGTGTATGTGCGTGTTTGCGTGTGTGTGTGTACTGTAGGTGGGGAACAGTCTCCTATCAGTACAATAAAAATAGTTTCAATCCGAAGCACACAAACATCTGCAACTATTTGCTTTAAAACTCACACACTTCTTCTATTCTTGTGATTTACTTGTGATTTACCAAGTTATTTAGCAGTTTTGGTTATTTATCAGCTCCTGCCCTACTCTCGGTTGCTTACAAATTTTCATTTTCTGTGTTGTAGCTTAAAATAGACATATCCCCTTTAGTGGTAGTAGTTACTGAATACGTTTTAGCCCCAAAAATACTGTTTCTACTTCCAGTGGAAACTGTTTTAATAAGATGTTTTTTTTAGTAAATGCGCTCAGTTATAACATCATGCTACATTTCGATTAAAAATGGCACAAAATGTCTGACACTTTTTTAGTGCAGAGAGCATTAATCATCATAGCTCTAGATTTGTTTAAGTTTGTTTTTCTTTTATATTAAGAAAGAAGTATTGTGCGTGACTGGTTTCACTCTCCTTGATCAATGAACAGCGGGGAGTTTTGCTTTAATCTGGGAGGCTGCATGAGTTGATTACCAGTCACCGGTCAGGACCGGTCAGCGGCGTGAGGCAGGGCTTACTGACCTCATTGAAGATGGCCACGTTCTCACACTGCAGGACTCTGGTTTTGTGGGTGAAACCTGGAAGACAAAATGAACAATTATGCTCCAAACAAATTTATTAAAACATTGATTCTAAAGGCAGACTTCCATTGAACAGTCATTCAATTTTAAAAATGGAAAGAAAAACATTGTCTAGGTCTGTTTTCATAAAAATGTTTCCAATTAAAGCTGTGTATCATTTCATTCAACTACACACAGTATGTGTATAATGGGCACAATCTAAATTTAAATCTAAAAGAAAGCTATAGACACAAAGCTGCTGCTGCCGTCCTTTTTGGACATGCTGGAAACTCTTTTGTCTAAGTAACATTTAAAATACAGTAGTTTACAGTATTTATGTGATTACATAATTGAAAGATACTCCATCATTACCATGAGGAATGGTTCCTTTTTGGCCTCTGATAATGATCTTACATGCAGATACACCCTTTATAAACAATCTCTTACATCATGATATATGTTTGTTGATAATGCAGAGATCCAGTAAAAGCAAGAATCTTCTGAACTTGGAGTTCTTTCATGATGAACTCTTTTAAAATATGCTGTTTTACTTGGGTCCTCATATTTTACACGGTCATTGAACCTGCTTTTTGCCTCCAGCAAAACAAATAAAGCAGCAGTACATTCTACAAATGATGGTGTTTCTGTCCTGTTCTGACTCAAAAGAATAATTAGAAACAAAAATATAACCGCATAAGAGCACGTAAAAGCAGATAAATGAGCTCTTCTTTGACCTGGAGGATTTAAATTCATGACACTCTACACTCGTTGAGGGACTCGTGAGGGATCTTCAGTAGCATTTTCCCAGTTACTTATGAACTGGAACACAACACTGGGCTCTCATCAGAATCAGGATGTAGAATGACGGCCTCCTCTCACTGAGGTAAAACAAAGTAGCTGGCCCCACACACAGTCGGTCTGCAGAACAGACAAAGACAATCCCACACAGGTGTGTGTGGACAGATTACCTCTGAAGCTGAGTTCCACCTTTCTGTCATATCGACCAGGCAGGTTGGAGATCCTCTTCAGATCCACGCTGATGGACATGGTTCCTCACGCGTGTCTGTGCCTGTGCGGATGTGTGTGAGGGTACGAGCGCCTACATCTCGTCTCCTGGCTGATCCCTTCAGTCCGCCCTCTGCAGCAGGTGGAAACTAACTGCCGAGTTTGTTCTGTGTGCAACTGTACAAGGAGGCTCGTTAAAAGTGTGTGTCTTAGGGCAGGTCTTTCTAATGTTTGATAAAGCAAACAGAGTTGCCTGACGGGTTTCTTCCTGTGAAAGACCCACTTGAACAGAAAGAGAAAGAAAGAGTGTGCCATATGTCGGGACATTTAATTCCTTATTGATAATACCAATAAAAGAAATCGGGCTGATAATTGTTGATGAGGTACATTCATTTAATGACATTAACTCATTTGTGTTTGACTCTTTCTCACAGATACACTATGTTTAAAAGTCGTAAAGCAGTTGATGCAAAAAAATAACAATAATTTGTTTTTGTTTCAGTATTCCCAGGGCATTTTAAGACCACAGCACAAACTTTCCTCAGATCAAATCTGGTGTTAGTGGCTCTGTTTGGAAAAATAACTGGAGGCAATGTTTCACTGAAAAACATTGTTTTGAAGCAGATTTGCTGCGAGAACGTGCTTATCAAATGTTACCTCATTCTCAGAGGAATTAGCTGGAGACAGACAAGGATCAATTATTTTTCCAAAAGGAAAAAAGAGGACAAAAACACAAACTTACTTTTTCCAAAGTCGTTTTATTATCGTCAAGCATGCAGCAATCAGACCGACATCATACTGGTTTACTTAAGCTGGTTAGTTAGTTGAGTTTAGCTGTTGGTGACTTTATTTCTTTGCCTATTTCTGCATCTTTCCTTATTTTTTCTGGTCCCTGAACTTTCCTTTTCTTCCTGCCAAAGCATCATGTGACATGGAGACAGGATTATAGTTTCAGAACAGCACAAACACAGTTCCAAATAACTCTTTGAACACATGAAAAACAAGATCAATATCTTTTTTTAAAGTAGTGCTAAAGAAAAAAGGAAAAGAAAACGTGTTTGGCAGAGCTTCATTTTTAGGATAAACTGCAGTTTGGCAACAACACATAATGGAGAAATGAACACGGGGTCTTTCTCTTTAAAGGCATTTAAAGTTATGTCACAGCTCGTAAAGTTTTGTCCTGAAAAATTTGTGTCCTGCTTGGACACACCTCTGACAGTCAGAGGTGTTTCAGGTCTGGATGACAGATAAAAAGTATTTTCTGACACCAAATAAAGCAGCCGACTGCTTTAAGTCTGAACTCTGATTGTTATCCTTTCGTGAATCCAGGCTCACATGTAACTTTCATCCCTCATGCTGATTTGAAAAAAATAACATGTTTTCCACTTTAAATGAACTGCTATCAAATAAAGGATAAAGATCAACTTAAAACAAAACAAGAATCTACAAAACACAAAAATCTTGACCACAGAAAGATGCAAACGTGTGTCCCTAAAAATAGCATAAGAATAAAAAACACATGAAACATATTCTTTATTCTGAGACATTTTTTGACAAATCTTTGGTCTATTAAAAGAAGAAAAAAAGAACAAAAAATGGTTCAGATTTAAATGAAAGACGTGGCCTGTGTGATGATTATAAATGACTACATTCAAGTTTAGTAGAAGGACATTCTGAGCATCTCACCTCTACCTGAGCTAAAGGCACAAAAATTCAGGTTTTTCTAAAGTGGTTACAGTTTAAGTGCTTCCAGCAGGGTATTCTTAACATTAAATGAGTTTTGACACATTTAACTCTGCGTTTAGGTCATTTCAGCACGTCTGGCTGTGGGAGCCAGACTGATGGAAGACAAACTCAAAGATGGTTCTTCAGGAGACTCACTAAGATCTGACCTTAAGTTGCTCATGTAAAACGTGTTAATCTGACCAATTCAACTGCTTTTAAAACAAAAGCGTTAAAAAATATTTAATTCTAAATTAAATGTCTACAAACCTCACCTAAAACCTTAAACTAAACTTAACCTATAGTTTTAGGTGTGGAGTAAAGCCCTACTTGTTAACACTTTGAAGGTTTTTATAAATTCTAGCTGATTAATGCAGTGAAATAACCAAAATTCTGCCATTGAAACTCAGATGAGGAAAGGTGGAAATATATTGATAAAAGTAGCACTCATTTAATCAGAAATGGACATTTTTGCCTAATTACTAAAAACATCTTGGGGGGAAAAAAAAGGAATGACTTCCACATAACACTCTCACTTTAAAGTGCAGTGGGGGCAGCCATGCATGGCATGAAATTTAGGAAGTTTCTACCAAAAGCTGTTTTACGCACATTTTAAGAACCCAGCAGTCATTACGTCTGTTTATTGTTCAGATGTAGCTGATCTGACCAAGTTTACAGTACTCTGTGTCTCTTTATCATAAAGCCCAAATACTACGTTTAACCAGATGTTCAGACCGAATGCTACTGGTTAACGGGTGTGAGCAACCACGGTAACCAGAGGAAAAGAGGCAACGTGCGGGGAGCAAAGATGGCAGCATGACCAAACCCATCAGAGCCATGATGCAGCACCCTTAGGTGGCCGAGCAGCGGCACTAAGGCAACAGGAGTAAAGCTATAACTATTAAATATCATTCATGATGTAGTTTTCCAGCATTTCAGGCAGAAGCAAAGTGCAAATTCTTGGCAAGTGATTAAAGAAGCTAATCAAACTTTACGTCCACCAGATACAGCTGTGATCGCATCTGCATGGACTGAGGAATGAAAACATAACTACATCTCCCAAATGGTGATTTGGCTTCTCCCGTTGCTAAGGCAAAATTAATGAGAGGGAATGAGGGGCCAAAAATGGCCCACCATCTCTGTATGAGTGCGTGAGGCTTTGTGAGAGTAAAACATAAACGTTTGCATAGTTAGTGCAGAAGCAGCAAAGGAGTACATCTATAATCTGCGCTGGCTGATTATCATTCTACTTATAGAAGAAAAGAAGAAGAAAATAAAGTGATTACAAAAGTGATTTAAAAATACACACTAAGGCCGTCTGTTCCCAGCATCATGATTGGCTAATGATTGGCATCCTGACCCTTCGGAAGTTGGTCGAGCGCAGACGCCTGACCTGGAATGAGATGATGGCATGGCTGAAGCTGTTTGTGTTGGTTTGGGGAATGTGGGACTGGGCTGAAAACGATGTGGGCTGGTGCAGCATCTAGGATTTGGGAGCAGCTTGCTGTTTCGGTGGGTCAAGGCCTCTCATTTTGAAATATGACACCAGCTGGTTGGGAACCTCGGCGAGGACAGACTGAGCCAGAGCCGTGGTGGGAGCCTTAACAGAGAGAAACGGGAGGTTATCACCATGACTTATATCTCGTCAATTAAAACATACAAAGACAAATAACATTCAGAGGCCTTTATAACCTGTAATGCAGCTGTTTTCACTTCTAACGATCATTCATTCTGGATTTACTGGCCTTTAAGGAATACATTTACTGAACCCTGTAACACTTTCTTTTGTAAACAGTATATTCAAAGTTAAAGTAACTATACACTATTCATATCGGAGTGATATAAGAAACTAGTCCTGCGAGTTTAGGAGTTCTTTAGACCTGTCAGGAGATCTTCTTACAGCACAAAGATAATTTGACAAATAAAACTTTAACAGGTCGTCAGAGCAGAGCGAGGAGCGTCTTCTAATTACTTATTTTGTATCAACGTCTGACTATTCTAAGTGAATTGTTGTCTGTATAATCAGGACTCACACATGCTGAATCAACATGCTTCTGCTGTCAATGAGAACATAGACTTACATCTTTGAACTGCCTGAATGGGACAAACTGGACGATGTCTCTGGCCACAGCTTCTCCCACAGTGGACCTCAGCACACCGTCATCTCCATCCAGGAGCTCCATGGCCTTAAAGTCGGCTGGCCCCACCCCCACAATAATGATTGACAGGGGCAGCCGCGATGCTCTGACGATGGCGTCCCTGGTCTGGTCCAAGTCTGTGATCTCACCGTCGGTGAGGATGAGGAGGACGAAGTATTGCTACGGAGACAAAGTGGGTTCAAAACAAAATTCGGTGGATGTGTTCTTAAGTTTTTTTCAGTTTGCGTGCCCTCACAGAGGCGGCGTTAGTCTGAGCAGCGGTGGAGGCCAGGGATGCAACGTGATTGATGATGGGCGAGAAGTTTGTGGGTCCAGAGAGTCTGAGCTGAGGCAAAACCATCCTGTAGGCTTCCACAATCCCCTGAATGCCTGTAAGACAAAAGATAAAAACAGGGATCACAAAACTCTTTTATTTAATAAGGTTTTGAAATGTTTTAGACATATAAGCAAACTATTCCTCCATGTCATCCTGCCACAACATCAAAATGGTAGTTACACATCAACATAATAGTACTAACTACAGAAATAAATTTGATTTAAACGTCTATTTGAGTAAAGAGCACATAATTGATTTACTGGAAACATTGTAAATAAAAGACTTGTTTTGTGTACCTTGGCAGAATGGATTGGAGGGGTTAAAGTTGAGGGCAAACTCATGATGTGCCGCCTATAAAACCACAAAGACAACAGTTCAATAAGCACTGAATATGTACCCCAGAAATAGCACCAAAAATAATCAATATGGGAAGAAAATAGCCCACAAAGAGCTGACCTGATAATCTGGAGGAAGTTTGGCACCAAAACCAAATGCTGGAAAGAGTTTATCACTGAAAGAAGAAACAACAAAACTGCTGTTACCGTCAATTAAACAAATACTATCAATGGCATTTGGGGTATTTTCAAAAATTCAAATATTTTAAAACCAGATATTGAAATAGATTCAATTAAAGTTTTGGAAATGTAAAATTTTGGTTATTTTTGCATAAAAACAACAACTGTTCAGTTGGATAGGTAATGATAGTCCTGTATTGAGAAGGTTTGCACATGTATGAACACAATCGTGCAAAACAGGGGAAGCATGTTACAGTTCTGGGCTTTTCGAAAAAATAAAAACCGAACTGGTTCTCTGATGGCCAACACCAGGCAGTTATGGGACGTAAAGTTCAGGGTTTAGATGGAAGGAAGATAGGCATTTAGGATGGACGGTCTTTTTTTTATTTCAGGCAACAACATTCTACTTTTCCTTACAGTATTCTAAAAGTATTAACCAGCCTTAAAAAAGAGTAAATAGCTACAGGCAGAAGCCTGGTTATGGTTTTAGCTTAGAACTGAGAAGCCTGATTCCATTACTGTCCGTTATTCAGGCCACAAATTAATGCTGATGCTGAACGTCTGACTGACCCAAAGGCAAAAAAAAAAAAAGGTCAGTCAGATAAACATTTGTGGTGCAGATTGTGCATTTAGATTGATGGGTTTAAGTTATCAAAGTTCAGACTGCTGGCCGCAGGGCTTAAACTTGGAGTGAGAGCAAGGTTTAAGGTGTGTACTCACGTGTCGTAGTCCTGAACAACCTGACCCACGGACCACAGAGCAGACAGGTACTGGTTCAGCCCATCTGGACTCATATAGTGGAGAGAGTTGGGTGACCGTGGATCACCGTTGGAGCCGGTGAAATCGATGCCCACCTGAAGGGTTCACACAACCTTCATTTTAGCATTTTACATAAATATACAATTTAATTCAAATGGTGAGAATTAGTCATTTATGTTAATGTCCGAGTTCAAATCTCTAATACCTACAGTACATCTACACCACCCTCTAAACCTTAAATCCTCTTCTCTAGAATATGATAGTTTAATCAAAATAAACCAAATCAGATGTGTATTTGTCAGTGTGAACTTACAGTGAAGTTGATCTGACATCCGCCCATCACATAGTCCAGGAAGGTGAACTGAGTCATAAGCTACAGAGAAACACAGAATCAGTTTCTGACCTTTTAAACAAAAACTGGAAGAGAAAAACGACAGAAAGTGTCTGAATATGGTGCAGGAAGTTTTTGTCAAAAACTCTGTGAACTCTGATGGTCTTTACCTTACAGCTTTTTACAACAACAACTCCGGAGTTCTTGTAGCTTTTCTTCTTCTTCTGTTTCTCTGGATGGACACAGTCAAACTCCACCTGAACAACGACACAGTGTGCAGTTTTAACAACCTCTGAACAACAAAAATACAAAGGTACACACGTTTTTAATCAGTGAATTTACCGGTGAGCCATGTTCAGCTTTCTGCAGCTCGGAGACCTTTGTAGTGAAAGATCCGATCAGGTCATGGGATCCATCGCTGTCATAATCAGAACAATCCACCTGAGGGAGGAGAAATGTTAATGGGAGTGATAGAGATTTGATGGTTTGACTTATGAAAAAGGAAGGATCATTGTAGGGACCTTTATGGTTCCCTCAAGGTCACTGGAGCAGAACGTCTGCAGAGGAATGCTGAACTTCTTCCAGGTAGGACTCAGATTGTTCTTCACAACCTACAAACAAAAAACATGCACGGATATTGTACATTTTCTGGTTTCAACTAATAATTTTGTCTTTAACCTACTCATTACAACAAGCTCTGCCAAGATTGTCTGGGCTGAAATATATCTAATATGAGCAACTTGTATCAGTGTGTCAACAAAATACCAGCACAGCCTTATGCTTTTTAATGTAAATCTTCAGCAGCCAACAAAAGCATAATTTCCTTTAAAGGAAGCTTAGGACCAGTTTAATTTGATCTAAGTTGTTAGTTAGATCAAATTAAACAAGCAAAAAAAGAAAAACTTTTACACTAGATCTGACAACTGGGAGGTTACTATAACCACACACACACTTTTAGTCGGGATTGAGGGGAGTTGTGCGTTACCTCTGTTCGGTGGACCAGCTTCCACTTTCCATCTTCCCCTTGTTTAAAAAACTCCAGGAAAGGATCAGACTTTCCAAATGTATCCTGAACAGGAAAAACAAACAAACACCCAAACAGTGGATTTTATGAGGAAAAGTACAATTATTATTATTTTTTTTACTGTTATGAAACTACAAGGTGTTTAGATGAAGGGTGAGATAATGAAAGACAGAAGGAAAGCACAGAAGCAAAAATCACCTTCTTGTCAAGCTTTCTAGCCTCCAGTTCCAACACAATGGCTCTGTTGTCCTTTATCTCCTCGGCAGTGATCTACAGACACACAAACACCTTCAGTCAGAAACCACAAATGTGCTCTTATCATTCATTTTTCACAGACACAAAACTAAAGTAAGATGTGTTTCAACGAAGTGCACTTACTGTGATGGATCCTTTTCCAGCAGGCTTTCCTTTCTTTAGCTGCAGAGGTCTGGTAAGAGTTTTGCTGGAAACTATCTAAAAGAAACAAAGGAGAGGTGACGTATTTATCTCAGTTCATTAAAATACAAATCAGGGAGTGGACACGTGAGATGGTCATGAACCCTTATGATCTCCAGGGGGAGCTCAAGATCTAAGAAAATTAAAAGGATATGAGTACTGAGTATTTGCTATCATGCATGATTTTGTCGATTTTCTTTGGATACGATTATAAAGAGAAATCAGCAGTTCTTCACCGCAAGTGTCTTGTCTGCTGATTAATTAAAGTATTTTTATTCTAAAAAAGATAATTATGATTTTATATCACAGTTTTAAAAAATTGTATTCTGTAAAAAAAAAAGTTATTTCATTAAGGTTATGATGATTCCCAATTAATTTACTGTATATATATGTTTTTTATATTTATCTATGTTAGGTCTTGCACTGACTGCTGCTTCCTCCTACTGTCCAAAAACATGCATGGTCAGTTAATTGGTGACACTAAATTAATCTTAGGAATTAGAGTGTTTGTATATCCATATCCCTCATCTTTGTGTGGCCCTCTAATGAACTAGTAACCTTTAAAGGGTATAAGACATAGACTCCAGCCCCCCTAAAGATCACACCTGGACTAAGCGGATATAGAAAATATATGGATGGATGGCGTTACACTGTATGTCACCTACCCACCAGCATTTCCCCTAACTATAACAAAAAGGAGATGTGACACAGCATGTTTAATGTATTATTTTACAGGTGTTTTGAAGGTGCATACCTGTCCCAGCGTAAGCTCTACTCCTCCCAGGTAGTCATCATCGCCGAGGTCAGAGGAGGAGTTATCGATGTCGTAGACCCCCAGCTTGACATTCTGAACAGTCTCAAAGTGATAATCCAGTCTAAGACGCTGACTGAAGGATGGACTGGAGGTGTTCTTCAGGCGCTCTGTGCGACCCAGCTGACACAAGCAAAACAGACAGACAGACAGGCTTGTTTTTGTTTAGCTTGCATCAAGCTATCTTTTCAAATAGGTGGATTTTTTAAGTGATAGGGTACCTCTGTCCAACTGTCTCCCGACTTCTGAAGAAGCACACACAAAGGATCTGACTTCGACCCAACATCTTTATCCAGGAGGTCAGTGCAGGAAATGGTAAGTTCTACCTTAGTGACACACTCTGCCATCTGGAGAGGGGGCACAGAGAGATCGTTACATTAGTAAAGAACAAGTTTATCTTTTCACACGCGTTACAAATAGAAAATATTCTAATTATGGGAGAAAATACAAAGTCCATGGATGATCCTGCAGAAACACATCACTTATATAAAAAATAGAATCCAAACTATATGCAGGTTCACTTTCTACATAAGTCACCTTTAGCAGCGCGAACTTAGAATGAAATATGTGTCAAGATCACCGCAACAACTAAGAATAAATTGGACCCCTTTTGTTGTTGAACCCTTACTTCCTTGCTTCCAGATGCAAAACATCAGCCTAACCCCTAAAAATGCCATGCTGGAAGTCTCAGTATAGCCAACTGAAACCAAATGAGGGAGCACAGTTCATCGCTTAACTTTACTAGGAATATTCTAAAGGCCCAAGTAGGAAGACAAACTGAAATCCTCCATTTAAACACAACCAACAACTAAATCTGATGTTCTGTTTCTGTGTCTATGGACTATTTTAGAATATTACAAACATTGGTCTATATTCTCACAATTTCAGTCTTTTTTTATATATAAATAATACTGAAAAACAGGTAATTACAAACAGAACAGGATGACACCAGTCACAGCAATTCTACCAAAACTGGTTTTCCTTTGTCCTTCTTATCTGGATGCTTTACATTAAATTTAAATCGGCTGTATGTAAAGGCTGTGTTGCAGACTTCTGTGACAGACATTTACAATAAAACTGAATAATCACTCCACTGTATCCTTCCCTCTTGCAAAACCGAGCTGGTTTCCAGCAGTATTAACTGATAGCTCAGTTTAGACATCTTTGGGCATGTTGTAGTGAATCATTCCACGCATGCGTCATGTAGTCTGGTTACAATTAAGTAAAAGTGTGTCTTTCCCAGCATTACCAGAGACAGAGATTCACCAAACCGAAAAAAACTCTCCAAATATCTAACCGCTGGCTCTTCGGGGTAATTTCATTACTAAATGGAGACATTTACACCAGTTTAATGCTCCCCAGCGACTGCCACACCTTAAAGTTTTACCGAAATACCGTACATATTTTAGTTTAGTTTGAGGGACCAGAATAAAGTGAAGCATTTCGAGGAACTCCCAGGATGAAATGAATATGTAACTTAAGCAATGAAACCTGTCCACTACTTGATCTAGCATGGTTTAAAAACGCATATCTGTTTAACTCCTCTAACCCGCATACATAAAACAGAGCCAGAGATCGGCAGTTAAACAGCTTAAAATCACCTTCTCTCTCGTTCAGGCCAGAGAACCAACTGCAAAGACACACGATAACCACTCCCACAGCCAAAAACAGGAAACCGCACCTTTGCTGCTTCCTTAAAGTCTCTTCCCGGTAGGCTTTTAACGTAAAATATCTATCTCTGCCTGAGGAAGTTTTCAATTTGTACCGTGGGCGCTAGAAAGACTTTCTATCCCTTCAACAGCTTCAGAGATAGATGAAAGGCTGGCAGAAAAAAAGAGGCTTCGTGATTGGCCAGGCAGTCATTGAAGCCCTAGTCTCATTGGATAAGATGGCTGTCAGTCACGCACTCGGAACGACACTAAAAGAAACGCAACACCCCAACTCAAGAGATTAAAAGCGAGGGTGGATGTAAAAGTCACACAGACAAAAACAGCAAAACCAACAGCAAAAACTCTCAAAACATAACAGTGAAAGGGACAATCCTCACAGACGAAATTATCAACACCAGTTTGACAAAATAACACGTACATAATCCAAGTGTAACTAATTGCCTCTTCTTTTTTTTAATTTATTGTAAACACAATAATAGGCCATTGCCGCTAAGAATAAGAGGGTGTCATTTCCACTAACAACGAAATGATTTATGTATATGTATTCAATGTATTAAACAGTCAAGTCAAACCCAGCTACAATCGAAAGAGAATCGTGCATTTACGATTCAACACTCGTGGCCACGATCCATTTCAACGCCTCAAACATCGATTTGAGGTCTTTCACAGCAAATCGTTTGTCGAACTACAAATACTCATACTTAAAGTTTAGACAGTGAGAATATTAAAGATAGTAAATGTAGGAGGAGCAAAACTCAAACCGGAAGTTCTGCGTAATTTATTTTAAAGATGTGGAAATACACAGGTCATCACAAAAGATAGAAAAGGCCAAAATAAAACAATAATAAACAATAAGGAAAACAGGAAGTACATAAGTGCAACCAAATAGCCTGAACACAGCATAAACAAAACCTTCCGAACAGAGGGAAATAAAGGTAAATTATAATATACTGGTGTAGTGGAGTTACAGTGAGCAGCATCCCATCACTAATGTGAGACAACAGCAATAAACACAACTCACAAAAGCACCATCCTATGATATAAGTGCTAATAAGTGGCATGCTATCATTCTGTTAATTCCTCTAAATCTCTCTCTTACACACACACACACACAAACACTCACCGAGCTTCTGTTTCTATGCTATCAATTAAATGTTTCCCTCATGTTTGCAATCTCTAAAACATCCACAATCTGCCATTTTAAATGTTATACATGTGTCTATAGAAATATTGTCTTCAACCTGTAAAATATATTGTTTAACCAAAGCAAACAGTTATGAAAAGAGGTCTTTTCTAAGTGGTATTTTCTTCCCAGTCACTGCTGAAGCTACCATTTGCAGATTTATTTGTTACTGTGCTTTTTCTGATTATTACAATATGCTTTAATCTGTGAGCAAACGATCAAACAAAGCTGGCAATGCTCTAAAGATTCATTTTCCTTTGATGACTTGTAATCTGCTCACTTGGCAATGGGGCCCATGCAATAGTTACTCGTAGCACTCTTCAACACTTTCAGGGGGATTGTTGAAATGATGTCAGATCATTTCTGGCTGAAAACAGACTGGGGACTATTTTTGAAAAAGTTCTGAATTAATATATCCGGTAAATATTCTATTTTATTGAATCAAGACCCTCCATGTTTTCAAACGTGTTAATGTGCTGCTTTTCAAAACGTTCATTCAGATGTGTGAATTTGGGAAGGATTTTGGAGTCTGTTTTCCCCCTTCAGCCTTAGCTTTACCAGAAAAATATCAAGTAAAAAAAAAAAAGAATGATTTCTGTGCCATTGTGCCAAGAAATTGACTGCAGCCTGTTGTGTAATAGTAGTCGAGCTCTACCACCTACAAACAAACGGTAAAAAACAGCTTTCTTTTGTCTTAAAATCAAAGTATGAGTGAAATTATATCGTAACAAAACACTATAAGAGCCGCAAGCATAACTTTGCCTTTATAGTGATGTTTCTTTTACTAGAGAATCAATTTAATTGAAAAAAAACTTAAGTAGTAATAGATGCTTAATGATGCATTGCTCCTCCAAAAGCTTCTAACTATTTCCTCCATCACTGGCATTACACCATCTTACTTATCTCCATCTTACAATGAATAATGATGCTTCTGTTTACATGCATTCATCTCCTCTAATGTACCGTCTGTAAGCTTAGACAAGCTAAATTTCATCAAGCGAATGGTACTTATCCCCATAGTATGAGCATGCTACCAACCCCCAGCATCAAGATCCTCCTTTTTGTCTCTCAACTTTGATGTAGGAGACATGAAAGCAGCTTTAAAAGCTAATCTGCGATTACTGATGACGAATCGTGGTGGCCACAGTAAAAATAAATCTTCTGTTCTTTTCCCAAGTGCTTTAACTGAAGTTCTTCATTTGTGTTTTGTTACTCACCTGCAAGATCTGACATCAATCTATTAACCAGGAAGGAGGGGGCTGAGCTCAGCAGCTGAATGATTGACGGCTCAGAGGTCCCACAAACACACTCATCATTCAGACTCACGCTCTTTCCCAAGCCACATCTCTCATTTGGCTTTATTGAGGTTTCCGACACACTTTGCCTTCTCTCCACACACCAGCGGCATACCAGACAAACCAGGAGTGCTTCACTCATTTTATTAAGGCCAGTTTATCTTGACCACTCTCACTTCAACAACACGTGCACTCAGTTGAAAATCATTGATGTACCTGGATGGAGGATAAGCATTTCCTGTAGCAGAGGATTCCTCTTCAGACCAAACAACTTCACGCTGATGCTATTCAGCTACTCACTAGATAGACTAACATGCATGAGAGACTTCCTGCGTCAGCTACAAGGAAAAGAGCTGCATCACGCAGTGCATCACAGAACCCGAGAGCAGCCGTCTCAACCCTAATGAAAACACTTTGGATCTAAAGTGGGATTATTCTTATCTCTGGAGAAAAATAACTTACATCCTTTATTGTAGTTGGTTTCTTTTGTATTTCCTGCCTTGTTGCAAATTTAGGGAACAAAATTAAAAACAAAAAAAGGCCTATTTTCAACCATACTTGTGTTAATTCTCACAAATTCTTGCCACTAGATTTAACCAAATTAGAAATGGTGTATGCATTTTGGATAGCTAATCCATTTAGTCTCCAATTAAATAAGTATTGCAGATCAGATTTTAATTAAGAGTGGTTTAAATTTACATAGTACTGATTTTGTAAACAGCATTTGAGATTTTAAACTTTTTATTGAAGAATTAAGGTTCAAATATTTGCAACGGATCTTCCGTTTGAGGACATAATCCTATTGGTGCCTCGTTTATCTGGTACATTGCATTTCACTTACAAAGGTACAAACGCAGCACTTTATTTTCTATGTTCAAGGTTTTAAAATAAATATTTAAAAAGGTAAAAAACATTTTATCTGACGCCTTAAAAATATTTACTGTAATTCTTTTCTGGCAGATCTAAAAAAGTACTATCAGCCAATAATCTATAAGTAATACATTTTATTTTTGAAATCATAGTTAATGATTTTGAGATTTGATTTTTAATCCATCATGAAAAAAATAAAAATAAAAATAATTTAGTAGATTAAACTTTTCATGAGCATAACCAAAACTGTTTGGTCAAAAAAGAAAGAAAAATATACAAAATGTTACAGACATTGCACATCTGTAAAATACACAATGACTGATTAACCACATCAAATTAGTAGATTGGTTTGGAGTCATTGTGGAAATGTTAGAATCCATACGTGGTCCTAGGTAGCATGTGTTTGAGGAACACATTTATAGGATTTTAGGTCTTTCTGTTAACAGAGGTGGTAAGGAAGTTAGTTCAAAGTTTCAAATTTATGTCTCAGGTTCAAATATAACAGCAGACTATAAGAGGGAAAACTTTAATTTTTCCATTCAAGTCTTTCAAAACATGAACAGACAAGTTAAGCCAAAATCAGAGAAGGTTCCATCAACAGAGTGAAGAGCAGACAGTCATGTGAGGCTGATCGCAGACGAGGACCGTCCTTTTATTCGCCAAAGCAAAGGAGATTCCATCATGAATGGTTATAAGTTCATACAAGTTTGTTCACACTATCGTTAGAAACAACAAAGAGCTTTAGGTTCCAAATAATCATGATCAAACTTACATACAACATAATGCTACCAAACTAAAAACACTAAAGACTTAATCTCAGCACTCTACAGTCCAAACACCTACAAACATGCTGAGGAAGAAAAAGGGGGGGGGGGGAGGTTTTGGGGTGGCATAATTCAAACACAGCAACATCATAAAAATGTGAAAGAAAAATCAAATTAACAGCCCCAATTTACAATACGAAACATGAGTCAGCAATCTGTCCATCCCACATCCTCTATATGGCAACAAAGACCTGTCAACACTTTACCGAAGCAGCACAGCTTGAAATCAGAGTAATTTTTACCACAGGAGCAGGACATGTTAACATCTCACCATTGCAACAGATAAACATTTGATCAAGGGATATTTTTTATCATAATTGTACTGTAGCAACATGGATTGTGGTGACTTTACAAGAGCAACAGATTTTACAATAGCAACAGAGGATGTAAAGATTAAATGCATAAGATTTGACCACAGCAACAGATCATAAACATTTCACCGTGGCAACATGCTATGGCTCTTCATCGCTTTCCTACAGCAAGGGTGCATGTTAAGCTGTTACCATGGCAACAGAGCAAGTAGGTTTTGAACCACAGCAGCAGAGCATATGTAAGCATTTACAGCAAAAAGAAAAAAACGTTTGTCAGCCTCGTCATAATCATCTCGTTACCATAGCAACAAAACAGGTGAGTGTGTTAAGCAAGTCAGCTGTGGCAAAAGGCTGAACTATCACAGTAACAGGGTAAAACGGGAACAAAATCCTCCTGCTATCCTCAACGTAACCGTCATCGGTTCGTGCAACGAAAGTCATGAGCACATCTGGAGAAAGGACAGAGTCAAGACCACAGTCTTTCATGGACAGACTGCACAGGATGGGGCTTACCTGCCGACACACATGAGTTTTGGTAGGGGCTGACAGTCACAGAACAATGTGTTATTTGAAAGGGGTTCTTGACAGTCCAGTCCAAAAATGGGTGTGGTTTAAGTTGGCCTCGTTTCATTTGGTTTGTTGATCCAGGCAGACGCATAATCTTAAGTACAGGAAGTCTGTATTCGGTTAAGCTTTAACCCAGGCTTATTTTGACTTTGCGTGCGCCGATAGGTCTATCATTGAGGTCCATGACTGCGGCGGTGGCTTCCTCGTGGTTCTGAAAAGCCACCATAGCCTCACCAGTTGGCATGCCCTTTTCACTGAACTGTAAGCAAACTGAGCCCGGCAGAACCTGGTAGCCATAGAAGAAGTCCATGATTTCGTCAACGGTTACAGTGAACGGCATGTTCTGAAGCTTTACGACCGTTGGGCCGGGAGGAGCGCGCTGGTGGCTGGGATTGTTGGCTCCTCCTGGAGCTGGCGGATTGCGCAGACCTTCAGCCCCTGGAGTGAAAACCTGTTGTGCACCGGGTGCTCCGCCACCCTGGCGCCCCTGGTTGTTGTTGGCTCCTCCTCCTCTATTTTGTCCCGCTCCACCTGCTTTTCGATTGGCATTCTCAAATGGCACCAGGCCTCTCAGTCCATCCTGACCAAATGGAGCTCCTCCGGCAGCTCCAGGTCGAAATCCTGGTGGCTCCAGGATGGGCGCTCCAGGAATTCCTGCAACTAAAGGAGGAGCCACGCCCAGATTCACCTCTCCCAGCCCTGCAGCCAGTGGAGGGAGAGGAGGTGGGCCTGCCAGCCCATTACCTGGGGCAGAAAACGGAGTCACAAAGGGGGCACCACTGAGGTTACCCATGGTATTTCGGAGAAAGTTAAACTCCTCTCCACTAATCCCAGCAAAAGGATTTATCTGGGGCTGCTGGGGACTGGCCTGGGTTTGTTGGTGCGGGTTCTGGTTTTGATTGCGCTGGCCCCTCTTGTTTTGAGGTGGAGGATTTCGCTCGATTTCCTTCATCTGATCAAAAGTAACCAAATGAACAAAGGCATCACGGCCATTGAGTTTTTGCCGGTGCAGCCTTTCGGCTTTGCGGGCATCCTCCTCTGTTCGCAGCTGGAAGACGGCTTGCCCTAAACCATTGCCATGGGTATCAGTCAGGACCTTTAGGGTGTCCTCGTAGAGGCCCACGCCATCCAAAAAGGCACGGACATCTTTCTTGGAGATGTTGTAAGGGATGTTGGAAATGTGGGCGCAATTCCTTGGCGTTTTCAAGCCGTCCTGGTTCTTGCCATCACCCTGTGCCGATTCACGTTTGCGAATGGCATCGATCTTTTCTAGCGTTCCCTTTCGGCTGATTGGGTGAACCTGGATGAAACGGGAGCCCATGTACTGCATGTGAGCACTGAGAGCACTTTTATAGTCCTGCTCACATTTGAACTCAAGGAAGCCCTCTCCTGTAGCGCGCCCATTCGGCCCATATGCTATGTAGATGCTATCATCTATGATGGCCAAATTCTTAAAGAAATCTTTAATCTGCTTTTTGTCAGCCTCATAAGGAAGGCCTTTCAGATAGACACAGTACTCCTGCCTGTGTGGAGAGCGTGACCTTTCTCTTTGATCTCTGCCTCCTGTCCCAGCATTACCACGGCGGTGCTGATGATCCGGTGGTTCATTAATATTATTTGACTTGTTGCTATTGTGAGGAGCATGGCTTAATCCACTGTCAACAAGGCTGGCCCACTGACGCTCGGAGCCTGGGGCAAATTCAATGAATCTTTGGCCCATCATGCCTCCTCCTCGCTTCAAAGCCTCAAAACTGTCATGGGGTGTGAAGAACTTGACCATGGCCCTGCCATTTGGCCGACCGTGCCCATCTCTTAGCAGGCGAACCCCATCCACCCCTAGACCCCGAAAAAAATCCCTTACTTCCATCTCCGAGCAAGAAAATGGGAGGTTTTGCAGAAGAACAAAAAACTCATCCGGATTGGTTGCTCCGGCCCCAGACGCTGCAGCAGCAGCTGCAGCCTTCATGTGGGCCTGAAGCCCAAGTGAGGCCAATGGCGAGAGAGGGTTGAAGAGCATGTGATTGGGGGTTCCCAGCGGGAGTCCAGAGCCCAGTCCTCCCGGTGGAGGTAGGGATGGGTTAAAAGGAGGTAGGGAGGACATATGAGGGAGATGGGACATGGGTGGCACTGGAGGTCCTTGGGATAAGGGGGAGACATTAGGAACAGGGGGGAGGGAAGAACCAGGAGGAGGAACTGGTAATGTGGGCAGTGTGGGCATAGGTGGCATGGATGGCATATTGGGAAGTGGAGGGATCGGAGGAGGACCTGCATTGAGTGAGGCAAGAGCTGTAGTGATTGTAGGGGTTGAACTATAGCTATTGGGAAAGCTTGGTACCACAGTGGCCAAGCTGGTTGCTGCTTTGTTGCCTGGTTGTTCTTGAGAGGAGCTTGCTGCCGTCACTGTAACTTGCGTGTTACTGAAACCCTGATTTCCATGGCCACTGGTTCTTCCTCCAGCCCCCGACTGCACTGTTGGTATGGAAGATCCGCTTGGTTGTCGATTAGAGTTGCCTGCGGTAGGTGCGGCCATCTCGGCGGCTCCTGCTCCAGCCTCAAATCTACGGCGGCTTAGTTCGATCATGTTCTGCATTTCTGTTTTACTACTCAGTAACAACGACACCTTGGAGCTTTTGATGGACCCGCCTGTTCGCATCATCCCTAGTCGAGCATCCTCATCGGTAGCAAACACGATGAAAGCTTCACCATGCTCGCCCCCCACGATGTGCACTCCCCCGTCAGGGATGGTGAGGCCAGAGAAGAAGTGTCTGATGTCCATGGTGCCGGCCACTATCGGCAGACCCTGCAGCCTGATGACTACTGCCATACTGACTGCTAAAGAACAGCCCTAAAACCTGGGGAGAAAGCAACACTAACATCAGATAAAGAGCAGAAAGAAACAAACCAGTGGTTTCTCATATTGGACTTAACAGGCCAATAAGAAAGAGGTCAACAATGATAACATTTCATTAAGCAAACTCACAATCCACTTTAAAACTTTAGGAAACAATTTTCTGGACCTTGATTTTGGAAACCAGTGGTGTTCTCAGGGGTTTGATGGGGAAGAGGATATGAATCTAGCTTCTAACTTCAAATAAATCCTTAAATGCAAAGTCTCTATGCATCCTTGATAAGTTCAGTACACTATGCTAACATTTTAGTTAACAGCAAAAATAGATGTGAATGAGGTTTAATGTAGAAAAGAAAGTATTCATGAGTCAAAACAAACAAAGTTAGGGTTACACTACATTTGTTTCTCTTTATGAATTGCCCATTGACAGTAGCATATCAAAAAGTTAGTGTGCTTAAATGCCAAATATAAATGTTTGCAATCCTAATGAAGTTTATTTTCCTTTTTTTTTTAAATAAGCAAACATCCAAGTATGTCTAAATGTTCTAAAGTAAGTCTAATTTGTTACTAAAATATCATCTGAGTTATGAAACATGTTTACAGCTAAACATTTATATAATTATCGATTCTCTTTAAATTCCCATCAAATAAATCCATTCTCCTAGTGTTTTAAGTACACACAGCTTGGCATAACACTATGTTTGAACAGAAAACCTTTTACTGTCAATCAGAGATCATTAACTGAAACTGATTTCCAAAATGGAAGATTTTCTGCTGAGGCCCCTGTGATGGGACACTAAGGGCATTATGCAACCAAACTAATTTGACCCCAAACTCTGTAGAGGTGCTCTCTTACCCATTTTAAACTAAGACAACTAGTGCTAAAGCCAGTTTAGCTCAAACTTTCTAAAAACCCTTTCAATAAGCTAGAGGAACACCACAGAGCCACTTAATTATCATCACTGTCAACGTCTCTGGAATCCTGTTTGCATCTGGTCCAAACACCCATTCTTGGTAGACAAGATCACAAGTTACTTATAAACAGAAATGTAAACGGTGGATGCAAGGTATCGATAATCTGGGGTTATACTCTCATGGCAGTCTGAATGCAAATCTGTCCTTGAGTTCCTTTAATGTGCAATAAGCAAATGTATACCTGAACATTTGTAATGTATTTGACGATTCATTGTTTAAACAGGGAATCAAAATTATTTTTAGCCAGTTAAAGCCATTGCACTGTCAATGGATTAACTCTGCTCACAGAGTAAAAACATGAATAATTTAGTATGTTTAATTAAAAAAAGCTACATTTTGTATTTGATTTAATCCAACAAGAACACTATCGCCAGAAATGAGAGCCAAATGAAAAACCTCCAATTGGCCCAGCAAAACTGTTTTATGTCACACAAAGCTGAATTTGAATAGATGTTTCAGGGCTAAGTTAACTTAGCACAACCAGTGGGGATCAAGAAAACCAAGAAGACGAAGAAAAAAGAAACAGCAGCAAATAACTGATGTTTTGGGTGATGGAGCAGAAAGAGAGCTCAGAAATCGGGGATCAAAAAGATATGAAAGCAGAAATCTGGTTTCCCTTCAGGTCTGTTCAAATTGCTGGAAGCATGAACTTGAAATACGAATGGTGTGTAAAAATCGTGCTTGTAAAAATATATTACTGCAGATACAAATAAGAGGAGAAACCAGGTTGTCGTTTCGTGTTCCGAACAATGTCAAGAAACAAAGCAAGCCGACTATAAAATCAAAAACCACCAATGTGCTGTCCTCTTGTGCTCTAACTCTGTCAGTGTTGTCCGTTGGTGATCAGACAGGATGCAGGAAAGCAGATGTGGGAAAAGAGTCAGCATGTGTTCTTATTCTGACAATCCTGCCCTCAGCCTTTAACACAACACATTGTGGTTTTCAAACCGGCAAAGATTTGGAGACAGTCTGGATGTGCTTCCTTTCCTTTCACTGCTGTAAACAAATTTGGGCGTCAAAACACAAAAACTGCTTCTAGATCGGCACATCAGCACTGCGGCTGCGTCAGTCTAAAGGGGGTCCGGGTACTAAAGGGGGTCCGGGTACTGATCCCTGTAGATGACTGAGGGGCAGTTTTCAGTGGAGTACTTTAAAGAAGGTTTGACCATAATTCTACCATGCAATTCACATACATTTCCTTTATATTTAGCTGGGCAGGAAGTATTTAGTGCAATAGTAAATCTTCATAGATCTCATGCAACTTGAAACTCACCAATGCAACTAAGCAGTGTGTCTACTTTCACTGAGTAACAGAAGATTTCTGCGGGACACTGAAACCTGGTGAAAGGGTCAGAGAAACAAACATTCCTGTTCAAAACATTAGTCACACAACAGACTGAAATGAAGTGTTACATTAGCTTCCACAGACGGACATGTTGGTGTTTTTGGCAACTGGCAGGCTCGTTTAATCGTTGTGAACCATCCCACTAGAAATTATGTGTGGTGCACAGGTACTGTTTGGTGTGTAGATTGTAGGTCAAAACAGGGAGGTCGTCTTAAACCTTAACCCGATGCAGGCACTCAACTTCAAAGTTCTCTAAATTGACAGAATAAAAAACCTCAATCAGAAAGCAGTGGCACACACTTCGTGCCAACGTCCAAACCGCATCATCACAACCCAAAAACAACGAAACCCAAACTTCCTGTGAAACAAGACGCCCAGTCGTCTGCACCGTATGCTGCATTACAGCCTCAATCGCATCCCAGGTATGATGGCAACCACTTCACAACACTCAGACTCCAGGCAACAGCTCGGTAGTCGTACCAACAATCAGGGGGTCAGCAAAAGCCCGTACACATCAGGATGCTCGTAAATCACCAAGTCAGCAGCAGGACTTGAGCGCCTGCTTGTAAAATACCGCAACATGAATAACATTTCAACCAGCGAGTACAAAACACATCATCAACAAAACATTAACATTATCACACGCGGAGCAACAGCAGGAGCAGTGTCAGCAGTATTTCATCAACCATTTGGACAGAGCAGTATCAGAAACACGTCCACAGCAGCAGAGCCACATGTCAACCACAGCAACAGTAGCATCGACTCATTACCAGCACTTTAAGGAGGGCAGAAAAAGTGAAGAACGGCAATGTGCAAAGGGACATGAAAGCTAAAACTCTTAAAATCATGCTGTCAAGCTGAGAAATAGCAGTCTAGCAAAGCTTGCTGTTTTCCACATTCCCCTTTTTTTCTTTTGGACACCATTCAAGATGGACATCCCATTGACCTCTGACATTTCAGCCTCTCTGTGACACCCAAATATGTGAAAAACACTGAAATACAAAGAAAGCATATCATCCTGCAATATCCCTCAGTGTGATTTTACATGTCATGAAATCATTATCATCCGTACAAGTGAGCAAAAGGGTTCCACTTCAGACAGGCCATAAACAGAGTACTGCAACCCAGCGCCTCTTTGGTGTGCGTTTCCAACCAAAATATCAACACCATTAATCAAAAACCGGCATTAAACACAGCAAAAATGGATAAAGCACCAACAGCTGATAACTCCAGTGTCCAGAGGCAACCAACGCTCAACCAAAGCTGGATTTTCCACTTGAAGAAAAGGGAAGCACAATGGAGCCGAAAAGAGACAGAAGCTGCCAGAAAGAAAATGTTCAATACAGCAAATTCAGAATAAAGGAGAAAAACAATGCCTTCGGAAGTGGGAGCACATAACTGCTGATGTGCTGGCATCAATCCCAAACCACAGCAATGAGACTGGAATCAAAAAGCAGAGTTAATCAAGAAGAGTGAAACACCATTAACACCATAACTTCGACATAATAGAATCCATTCCAAAACAATGCTGAGGGGACTCACCACTCAAAGGCCAAAGGGCTCAAATAAAAAAAAGCAGGACAAGAAGACAGCAGCAATGGAAAAAATAAACAATAGACCAGTACAAGCTCCTTTTAAATCACACAGAAAACAGACTGGATTTTACATCTGCTTGCACAGAAAACCACCGACCTCAACTTCCTGCACTGCAGTCCTGAGAGAAGGCACTAAAAGAACAGGTATATTCCAGCATCCAGTTTACCAAATAAAAACAATCATCAGCACCACTATAACAACAACCAGGTATGCATGTTTATGTTATCTGAACCCTCAGGAACTGATTTATTAGAGTAAGATGCATCATGTTTGCCAGCAGGGCTACTTAAGAATGTGGAATCCCAGCAAAATCTCCAGCCAAAATATCCATCATGGTCTGATGGTATTAAGATGCTGCTTCAATGTTATGAACTGTGGAATCCATGTTAGTGCATTTAAAATCCTACAGAGTAGATTAAACTAAAAGCAGCAGAATGAGGCTGATTCACGTTCACCAAAATCCGCAGCTATAAGCACATTTCTACCATACCTTAAATCTGGGAACGTGAAGAAAAAAAATCATTTGCTGATTTTATTACTGAAAAGGGCTCAAATACAAAGAAAAAACTCAATATCATGTATACTAACCACCAGCTTCATTCCCGTCAACAACAACTCAGATTAAATAACTTTCTACTAGTCATTAGCGGGTCATGGTGGGGTGTGACGTTTGGACCACAGGGCGTGGCTAGTTTTTATGGTTTCTTGTAGGCTTGCATCAACGGCAGTGTGGTCGACTGTAATGTCGGTCGTAGCACCCAACAAAGTTTACACAAAAACATACTGGAATAAAATTAGCTAACATGCGAGGAAACTTCCGCAATCCACATCTGTTAGTAGCTAACATTGTTTAGCAGCTAATAAAATACTCTTCCTCTCCAAACCAAATTAATTTGTATAGGCCGACAATGGATACATTCTTAAAAAAAACATTAGGCAGGAACAGTGTTGACATTTCCAAAGAGTCATGACTCACTAGCTAGTTTCCATCAGATCAACTACGTGTTCTTAGTTATGATTAGCATTAGGGGCTAACGCTTTGCTAGCTGGCTGTTAACCCTGCATTGTATGTGTGGAAGCAAAACAGCGAGCAGGATGCGTGCTTCCAGCAGCTCCCGTCGTGCTCAGCTATGGGTGTAACTGCATCGTTAAGCGGCCTGCCGCTGATAATATCTTACCGAGAGATTTGTCAATTAATACACTGAGGTCTACTCATAAACTGGAATCTTTTCTTCGCTCTTCGCTCCGCAGTGCGCTCTGCACGAAATGTCGGCGAAAACAACGCGATAACAGAACAGATAACGCGAGATCAGGAAATGTCGAGCAATGATGGGGCGATATCGCCACCTGTCGGCTGTCCAAGGCCAAAGGAAACGCACAAACAATAACGCGCAGCATCTTGTTTTTCGCCAAACTTTGAGAGATATTAAAGAGTAGACGAGTGCATATCGTCATACATACAATAACGTCGTCACAACAATTTTATCACATGCTTTTTTTTCATCATGATAAAATGAATGAGATTTGAAGTATTTGTAAAGTTTGGCAGGTTTGCCCTTCAATTCAAGAGAAGCAGTTAAACCCCTTAGTGGAACATGACTAACCTGATTAGGATTTGCAGTTCATGTACCAGAATGTCCTCACAAAAGTTACCTAAACACTAAAGCTAGGGCTGATGAGGAGTTTAAAAGACAACATATTTTTTTTAAACAATAATCTGTCGCTTTTTCAAAAATATCTCTGTTCTGTCTTATCTGCATTTTTTCTGTAAGGCCCTGGCAGATTGTATAACATATTGTTCCACTATCTGATTTTTTTTTAAATTATTTGATGAATTAAGTTTATCTTTATTCATTTTAACGTCACAATTCCTTTTTTTTCTTTTTTTGTTCTTCATTACATCTCTCTGGTAGATTCTGTTACTTAGCAGGGTCTTCATTTGTTCTGTATGTGGAAAATCTTAAATATTTGTTCTTATTGTTGGGATGTTTGTCAAGCTGTTATTACAAAAGAGAAAAGCTCAGATCAAACCAAATATCCATTCATTTAGTGAACAAAAACCACAAAAATGGATTGCATAACCATGAAGCAGCAGATTTATTGGATAACAGGTAATAGCTATTGACAATGGAGTCTAATAAGTTATAACTGAGACTTTGATGATGTCAATGAACACAAAACTTTAAACATGCTGCAGTTGCATTGATCAATATGTGAATCAGTCAGCATTTAATTTTTTTGTGTTTTTTTATGCCAACAACTCAGTGCGACAGGAGGTAGCATGAGCTTTATCCCGTGTCCTGCAAATTGTGACTGGTGGTTAAACCAGGCCTGCAGTCAAATAGTCATGAATGAATAACAAAGCTGCTGCTAACGCTGTCCCACTGCATATTCCACTGCTAATCGATGATTAGCTGATGTGTCACTCAACGGAATGAGAACACTGATGTGAGAGAACTAGGACAGTGAAGGGAGAAATATACTGAAAAAATCTGACTTATCAAGTGAAATAATCTAATCTTAAGAGACTCTGTAAGCTTATGACTTCAGATGTTAAAAAAGCTCTGCCTCATGTACAAATATGATGGAAGCCTGACAGGGAAAAGATTGAGTTTAAAATAAGTAACAATGTCAACAGGCTCACTATTCTTCATGCAAACCCATCAAAGAAAGTCATCCATGCTGAAACCCAAATGCAGGTTTGCAGCTCCTTTATACACTGTAAACAGCAGCCATACAATTTAAGTTGCTCAGATCCACTTGCATGAACATGTGAATTACATTTAAATGTTTTTTCTCACTTCAGAAACTCCGCAAATGGCTTTAGCTGATATTCATGTTTTATAAGAAGCCATTCAACGCTAAATTATTATCCCAAAAATTTCACAGAACCAGTTGTCAAATGAGTAATTCAGTGGGTCCTGGTAGCCCAAACAGACAGAGGCTGCAGGACATGAGCTTAACATTTCAAACTGGCTGATTCACGTCAGACAGGAAAAAAGATTTGTGTTAATTTGTAGGGCTGTGATGGTCACACAAAAGATTAACACCAAAAAAGGAACACCATCACCAGGAGACCTTGGCTTTCATCTCACATAATTTGGATTCATATGAAAGCGTTTTCCCCTTAAATGTTATTTTAAAAAAATGGCACATGCTACATACTGCGCAGGTTGTATTCACGGTCATTTCATGTTTTATGCTCATTGCTTCATTTGCCGCCTTAAGTCAAACGGTGAGAACTTGGTCCTGACTTTTTTTGTCTCCTTCTAAACTTTTTTTTTTTTTTTTGCATGTGGTCAAATCTTGAAACCGACAGATCGACAGCAAGAATCTGAACCAAAAACTTTCTTTCGGCTATCAATTTACAAGCACAGCGGCCAACAGCTGCCGTGTGTAACAGCCTCTGGTAACAGATCCATGAATACACCGAGCACAGAGAGCAGCGCCGTTGGTCGGCTCTGAGCAAACGTCTCCCCACGCAGCTACTGGAGGAGCCTCTACAGACAAAGAGCTACAGCTACAAACAGACTTCAAGTCGGGCAGGAAGTTTGTGCGTGTTTGTGTATAGGAAGAAAAAAAGCTGGACTGTCCCCAGGACTTCTTGGGAAACGTAATCTTCTTCGGCTCTAGGAAGTAGACGGGACAGGGGAGGAGGCTAGTGCTGAGTCCACTTGATGCTCTTCAGGTCCACGCCTTCCTGAACCATCTCCCACAGTGGACTGAAAAACCAGAGGAGGAAATCTGTTATTTTAATTCTACATCTGGGAGTCGCTGATTATAACAAAGTCATTAGAAACCAGATTGTGTGTGACTGACCAGGAAATGGAAACATGGCTTCTTGTGTGCTTCCTGCCTGACGCTTAGCAAACACAACTTAAAACTTCATGCCAGTTTTAAACGATAACGTGTCTCACTTTCTAATTAAAAATGATTAGTAACCAGCAGTTGTCTGGGCTGCCCTTTGATGTGAAATAACCAAAAAAAAAGTTTAAAAATCCCTGCTTCTCTGACTGCAAAAAGATGCCAAACTGTATTGATTGATGTATTCTAGGACAAAATCAGCCCTGTTATTGAAGCATTATAGCTCCTTAATGAGTTTATAAGTTCAATCTTTGGCCGAAAGCCTACTTTAATACAGCACAAGGTTTCCACTTTGTCATGATATTAGTCCAATAAATATAAAAGAAAGCTTTAAAGAGATTTCCCTATGTGCATTGTAATTATTCTCTCCTACTTTTATTAATTCGAAGTCTGTTGTCCGAAAACAGCTTGGGTGGTATTTCCTGTACTGAACTCACCTCATCTCTCTGAGTCTGCGGACCTGTTGGATGCATTTCTCTGCTGTGTAGTCCACTTCTTCTTCTGTGGTGAACCTGCCGATGCCAAACCTGCAAAGGGCAGAAGATCAAGACCCAGATCCACTTAAGTTTTTGTATTAGTGTGTTTCTATTGTTGTTGTTGCCTCTAAGAGACACAAATTGTGTTTGATCGTTAGGTTCAGTTTCTGTTATTTTAATAGGAAACAAATCGCTAAAATTACAAAAAATATACATTTTTAGTGACATGGTTTCCGTCCTATCTTTGTACCTGATGGAAGAGTGAGCTAGATCCTCATCTGCTCCGATTGCTCTCAGGACGTATGATGGCTCGAGAGACGCCGACGTGCACGCACTGCACGCACAAACAGGCTCAATCGTCATCAAGAAGATGTGAAAAGACACAGATCCAACCTTCTATGGGTTCAACTTGGAAGTCTTACCTTCCGGATGAGAGAGCAACATCCTTCAGAGCCATTAACAGACTCTCTCCCTCCACATAAGCGAAGGACAGATTTATGCAGCCTGGAAACACACACACACACACACACACATGCTGAGAGGAGTTTTTGAACAAAGCTAAAATGAGCAGTTCCAGACGAATCCTTTCATTTCAGCTTTAGCGTTAATGCTACACTCAGACTGAGCGTTGGTAAAGGTAAACGGTAAAGGATAACACATAACCACAAACATCAGTGTGTTACCAGCGTAGCGTTGCTCTGGATCTCCATTCATGATGACGTCAGGAATCTCCGACATCATCTTCTGGATCAGACGGTTGGCCAGCATAGACACCCTGTGATGGTCGTACTACGCGCACACACACACACACACACACACACACGCACAAAAACGCCCGCGTCATTAGGTTTGTTTGCTCAGCGGGTTGACATTTCAGGATGAAGGCTTTACCTCCATCTCCTTCTGGGCGATGCTGCAGGCGGCTCCCAGCCCCACGGCCAGCGGGGTGGGCACGGTCCCCGAGCGAAGGCCCCTCTCTTGGCCGCCGCCATTCTGCAGGGGCTCCATACGCACCCGAGGCCTGCGCCGCACATACAAGGCGCCCACACCTGCACACACACACACACACACAAACTAAATCACTCACAGTCTCTGGGAACCTCTTCTCAGTTCAGGGAGGGCAAGTCTAGATTTATTTCCACAAAAATTGACTGAACATGTTTGTTTTGATATAATTTCATAATGTTCTTGTTTATCCACAAAATGCGGAGAAACTCTCACAGAAACAAAAGCATAGAAATATCTAAAGCTACATCAGTTAGTGGCAACAAACCTTACATAAATATAACAAATTTTTTATAGTAGGCTAAATCCCACCCCATAGACAAAAACCCTCAAAAGAGGGAAAACATAACAGAAAGATAATGAGTGAATTGGCTGTTTATCTTATTTTCTGCAAGTCTAAGTTTACATAACAGCTAATGTCAGCTCACAAATCACATGAAAAATAAAAATAAATAAATAAAAGGTTTTATACCAAAATGAGGGGTTACCTAACAATATTCAGAGAAAACAGATCCTGAGATTTGGGGCTCCTGTCATCAAATAATTTAGTCTACTAATTTTATTTCCAGGTTGATCAGATGCAGATTTACTGCAATTGTATTAATTCCATTTCTCAATTTTAAATAATACTTTTGGTGTTTTCACAGATTTTTTGAGAAACGAGGTGCTTAGATGTAGGCAAGATTGTTAGTACTTAAATGTGAACCTATTTTTCCTACTGAAATAATACCATTTATTAATATAACTTTTCATACATTTCTCTGAATTGTGCATAAAAATGAACCAGATCAACCCGTGCGCTAAAAGCAATGATAAAAACCCACAGCTGACACCAGCACCGACCTTTGGGTCCGTAGATCTTGTGGCCGCTGATGGACATCAGATCCACTTTGGACTCGGTCACGCTGAGGGGAATCTTCCCCACGGCCTGGGCAGCATCAGTGTGGAAGAAAACGCCTTTAGAGCGACAGATCCGCCCTGTGGATGGGAAGAGAAGAGCTCAGTGAGTCGACAGGGCCCCAATCAAACAAATTATTCACTTTCCTGTCATTTTAGGAAAAAATATAACTAGGAACTTTTTTATTGGCTTGATATGATTTGGATGCATCTGAAACTGGTTAGATTTGGTTGTATTATAGAGAATTGGCTCGTAATGGGTTTGTATTTTTGAAGGATCCAGAGACGACAATCGAGTTGTCATGGTTACCAATGTCATCGATTGGCTGCTTGACTCCGATCTCGTTGTTGATGGTCATCACAGACACCACAGAGGTGTCGGGAGAGATGGAGGCCTCCAACAACTGCAGACACCAGAGGGCAGACAGTGATTTCTTCCCGTTTTCAGTCTGCACATGTTAAACCACATCTGTGCGTTCGTCTGTGGTACCTCCAGGTCCAGCAGCCCGTTCTTCTGCACTGGCAGGTAGGTCACCCTGAAGCCTTCTGACTCCAGAATCCGACAGGAGTCCAGGACACACTTGTGCTCGGTCTGTGTGGTGATCACGTGACGCTTCTTGGCTTGGTAGAACCTGCCCACGCCCTACAGCGGACGAACACAGTGAGTTAGAGCAGATGTCTGTCATGAGATCTCACTGGTTTTCTGCTCTTTGTCCCCTCTTTCTCATATTAATCACAGCCTGTCAGAGGGGAAAATGAATTTTGTGGTTCTAAAATACACAGAAATCGTTCTTATTACAAATAAGAAAAGGTTTTACTGAATAAATATGACATTTTTTGGGTTTGTCAAAATGAGGAGAAGGAGGGGAACCTTGATAGCCATGTTGTTGGACTCCGTGGCTCCGCTGGTGAAGATGATTTCTCTGGGATCAGCCCCAATCAGATCAGCCACCTGCTGCTCAGACAGAAGACACAGCCAAGGATTAAATTCACCTCACGTACTCAGTGGGACAAATCTGAATGCAAAATGTGGCCTGAGTTTTATTTGTATGCAGTTTTGGACCATATGATCACTACAAAAAAAACAGCTTCCTTCTCATTTCCATACTTGTGTCACCTGGAGTACAGCATACAAACCAGAGTAAATACACAAAAATGTTTCCGTCACGCCTCCATATCTCATCCCTTACTCTGCTACCATGCAATGACATCAACTGTTTTACCCCAAAGCAGATAACTTGCAACCTTCAAAGGCATTTCTCTGAGCACGTGTTGACATTAACAGCAAAGATTTATCTGCTCTAGTGGCCACATTTAGATTTTAAGCCACATCAGAAAGAAGAGCCTGATAACTCCCGATGAGACATCTGTAAATACCTCAAACTAATAACAGCATGCACTGAAAAGAGGAGGACGGTGCATGAGTCTGAAGTCTCACATCCAAAGAAAACCATTTAGAGGGAGAACAGAATCAGTGGCCATTGGGATAAACAGGAAAAAGACAAGACACTGCTACATATTCCACTCCGATGAATATCTAAAAGATACAAAAACACTCTAAAACAGCTCCAGCAGAACGATGGCGGTGATTGTCCTAACTCTCTACCTTTCTGGCGGTCTCCATGGCGGTCTCACTCTCCCAGCCATAGGCGTGTGTCCTGGAGTGCGGGTTGCCGTAGTAATTCACCTGGTATGGCAACATGGCGTCCAGCACCCGAGGGTCCTAACCACCCAAAACAATTTGAGCGTTAGCGCACGTGAGCGACCTCCTAAGTAACGGCTTGTTACACGTAGGCAGCTAAAAGCCTCACACGTTTAGGAGGAATTCAGAAAACATTTGGAAAAAATGTGCTCTAATCATCCTGGATGGAAGAATCCTTCTATTAAAAAACAAACCAGTCAGTGTTTGATGCTACGAGGTAACAAAAACACAAGAAAGAAAGATTCGTCTGCATAAAAGAAACAGAAATACAGATATATTTTAAGAAAGATAGTGCATGACCTTAATCTACCATAAACAGACAGTTTCTGGGGAATGTCAAGGAATTATTGAGCTAATGATTAATATTTGCACCACAAAGCTCTAAACGATGAATGCAGAAATAAGGTTTTTATGCCTTTGAAAACATAATAATCAACAGTAAGTTGTTCCAGAGGTGACGCAGCAAGAATTGTGTGGGTTACCATTGGCGTAGTAGCCTGGAAGTCCATGTAGAGGGGGCGGAGCTCATCCTTCTCCAGTTCATGTTTCTTGATCAACTCTGCAGCACCAAACAGAGTTTATTTATGACATTTTAGAAACTTTTAATACCTCAAAAACAACATTTTATTGGGTTTTCTGCTGTAGCAGCTGCAATGGGAAACTAATAGAAAACAGGATTTTATTGTAGGTTTCTGAGCTTCTAACAAAGTGATTGTTTTCATTCCAACAAGCATTACATAAATAACGGAGGAAATGGAATTCGATGTTTAGAAATACTTTTCAGGACCTACTGCCACCCTAAAAACAATGACAACCATTCAACCCATTGAGCACAGAATTAAATCAGAGCTCCAAGATCTTTAATAGTGGATCAGAAATTACACAGAATGCCAATGTCAATAAGCATCCTACTTATACCTTTTTTTCATACATTTAGCTTAGGATGACCATATAAAACAAAATATTGTACCCACTTATCTTTAACTCATAAGCACAGATGCAGTCTTTACAGCTGTTCGTTGTTATTTATGTGGTGTTTTGGTTTATATCGATCAGCAGCATCTTAGGCGTCAAAAACAATCAATATGCAGATCTCGACTCTGATGCCTCATTATTATCTTTAATGGAAAGTGCTCAGGGTTGTAAGTTGTTAATCAAATGAATACGTTTTATCTTTCCTTTTTTAGGGCAAACAACTCAAATGAATAAAAATAAAAATGCACAAATATTTAAATCTACTAAATTTTTAAAATAAATTTATACCACAATGGAAAATCTGGATAGATTAAGAAAATATCATAAGCAATGTACCGCTGTATAAAATCTATATTCAAACAGCTGGGGGAAAAGAAAACAGAAAGTAGAAAGATTTTTAAAAATGAGATAATATTGATAGTTAATTCAATCAAAACTTCATGCGTTTAAACTCGGCTGTGTATTGGAACTTTTTAAAGAGCATACATGACTTTTCTCCCCCCCACATTTCCCCACTCGGTGTTGTGGAGTTTCCCGTCTCCCAATAGAACTGCGTCACTTTAGGGATTAGCTTTTCGCTAGCTGTTCGAAACGTAAACACCCGGTTCGGTTCGGCTGCTGTTACCTTTCTGCAGGGTGCTGGTGGCGGTCCGCTCGGAGCCCAGTCGAAGAGACAGCCATGAAACGGGCCTCAGCAGCCGGGGGGAGAGGGACCTGCTCTGGGACAGCATCTGGTCTGTAGACGTTCAACTGGAGACCCTCTGACCTCAGCCAACAGCCGCTCACTGACAGCAAGTAAAACCCCGGCGAAAGACGACCTGCACCAGCTCAGGACTCTGACCTCAGAGGGAGAAAAACTGTGAAAAATCAGCGCTGTAAAAAGCTCTAAAGTGAGTGAAGTTTCTTCGCAGACGCGTGTTTCTGGCGGTCAGTTACATACAGGTTACAGCAGAATCCAGCCCACGGAGGTTCACATGTAACATCGGGCACATCCGGTTAGGACTTTCACAATAAAGGGTTTGTTTAGCTCATGATCCCACGATGAGAATGCAGGACTCCTTTGAGATTTTAACGTTTTGACCACAAAGGAATTAACCAAGTAGATGCAAATGTGTGCAAAACATAATCACACGTGATTATGATTATGATTATCATTGTGCTCTTGCAGAAAAAATAACTTTTATGGATCTGGTGTGGGAAGCTTAAAGTTGCCTCAACATTACAGCCATGTCCTTCGTTGGTGAAATTTAGACACAGTAATGACATCTAACAGAATTTTTTAAAAATTATTTATACTGCTATGAAGTGTATATTATTTGTCAGTTTCTCATACAGTGTTATAGTTATTGCTTTAATTATCAGGTATAATGTTTTATGATGTTTTAACATGTAAACCATATGCATTCATTTTAGTCCCATCATTTTAATCTCCTTTTTAGTCATCTGTGTAGTTTAACCACTCAGTAAATATTTGTAACTTGACACATGACGGTGTCGACGCTATTTCATGCTTGCACAACAAACGGAAGTGAAGGGTGGAACTTCCGGTATACAGCTCTCTTGTCATTGGTCGAGCCACATTGTTTTGGTGCGTTGCTGATAGGCTTCCTATTCATATTGACTACAGACTGGCTTTCACCAAAAGTAAATTCAACCTCTTTTGTAACTGCTTCAGTTTAACGCGCCCGACATATTCTCAATTGTTCATGAGATTTTCATGACCATTATGTGAAGGGTAACTTTTTATGTTAACATTCAAATTCAAACATTGAAGAACGTACTGTAAAAAGAACAAAAAAAATCCGACTTTCATACCCATGTGAACATAGATTTAGATACATATTTTATGAAAACTATTAAATTCCAAACAGCCTTCCACACCAGCTGGAGGCGGTAGAGCTCTCATTTCCGTTACTGACATGCAGACGAAGATAAGTCTATCTCTGTCAGCCATGTCCAAATAGCGAGCTGTAGCTCTTGTTTGTTTGAGGAAATACATTTTGTACGCGGTACATAGCGAGACATGAGATAAAGTGCACGACAGCGGGGGATCCCACTTTGAGGTGAACTTATAAGGTGGTTTCGCTTGGTCGTGTCAGGTTGTTATGTGAGCGGCTAACCAACACAAGCTAACCTGTCAGTGTGAGCACCGCAGCCTCCGGCTCTGCCTTGTTTACTGTATATCCCACAGTTAGCCTTCATTCAACTAATGACTCTGTTAGTACTTGTAGAGTACAAACCTTTTGCGCCAGCTTTGCTGTCTTTGGGAACATATATACAACTGACAGCTGGTTTTATAAAGAGATAAAAACGACTTTTCTGTACCCTGTACCTTATATTTCTGAATGTGGACAGCTGTGAAGCTGTTTTGCTATCATTTCCCATCCCCACGGGCAGAAGCCGGCTTTAAAAACACGAGTCCAGTTGAAATGCCCCTTAAAAGTGGATAAAAACGAATAGACCAATGAGTTTGGTGTTGTAATGACCTCACCATTACAGTGTGGATTTCTCATTTTTTAGAGAAAAATCCCAAACTTTGGTCTATAAAGAAGACATTGTGTAGTAATAAATTGTAACCATCATTAATAGTACCCAGGAGACAGTTTAAATCATACCACAAGCAAACACACATAACACCTGTGTTTCTATCCGTGGTCCAATGTTTCAAACTGGAATCACATTTTAAATCATATGTGATTATTTGTGACATCGGACGCTTTGTAACAGTTCTAAAAAGTTTTGCTTGGATTACAGGCGATGCCTGAAGAGCGACAAATCTGAGCAAGAAGCCGCCCCCCGCCGCCGCCGCCGCCGCCATGGGAACCACGATGAGCGAGCCGTGCATCTACGACAAGCTGTCGGAAAGCATCGACATCCTGCGGCAGTCGGGCTATCGTTACGGCATGTCAGAGAGAGAGATTGAGAAGTTCATCAAGCAGGTCCTGGAGACCAACGAGCCCAGAAGAGAGCCTCCTCAGTTCCCCATCCTGAGAGCCACCGTCAAGGTGAGAACCGCCTGGTTAAGAGGGACGCTCAGAGACCCACTGGAGGCCTTTAGCATGAGAAGGGCAGTTTTAGTACTCAAGAAAAATTTAACAGATGTGAACCAATCAGCTTGTTTGTCCGCACTGGTCAATAACAATAAGTTCATCCTGTAAAATGATTGTCCCCGTGCTCAGTTTTTGGTGGCCGTGGGATTCCTGCTGCTGGTGGTGCTGGCCTTCACTTACCCGCAGAAAACCCCCCAGCTGGGACTGGTCAGTCTGGGCTGTTACAACTGGTCGTCCCCTCTGAGCCACGTCCGCCTGCTCTCCCTGCCTATCGCCAAGAAGTACAACCTCCAAGGTGCCAGGCATTATGACTTTCCTCTTCCTTTTGTCAGTGTCAAATTTATGACAAACACAAATACGGTCAGCACAAACATGGAAAGAAGGCAGACATTGAAGCTTAAACAGAATTATGCTGACAGAGCAGATTCACCGACTTTATCCAAAGATTTAAGACAACGCGCTGTTTATTTCAACCTTCCCATTGGGATGTGTTTTGGCTTATACACCGTTTGGTGTTTCACAGTAATTTTGTGAGCACAGACGTTAACGTATCGTTTATTAGACGCACAAACCTTATACCAGTAAACAAGGATCATCATTTACTCAGAACTGAATGAATTAATGGTAAAGGACAGTCTAACACTGACTGAAAACCCAAATTATTTTTTGTTTTTTTTTGCTCTCAGCAGTTATTTGCTAACTCTCTGACAACACCCCTGTTCATTTTCCACGCAAAAATATAGCCTCTGTTTTTATTATCTGGCTGTGTCGCAGGCTTCCACGAGTGGTGGAGCGCCGGCTCCCTGCGGCACAGTTTGGTGAACTGCTCCGGATGCGCTGAGATCTCCTCGGTGCTGGAAGTCCCGGAGAGCCTCAGGGGGACGGTCACCCTGCGACGGGGGCCGCAGCTCGTCCTGCTGAAGGTCAGAGATTCTCACCCTCTCACCGACCTAAAATGGAACGCGTTTAACTGCATGGAAGCCGGTGGGACTTGGGTCCCTGACGCTCTGAGCCCAGGCTTATCCTGTTTTGCTGCCACTGTTTTCACTCGTCCACGCCGCTGCCTGCAGGGGGGGGAGTCCCTCAACGTCCAGCGCCAGCAGCTGGAGGAGCTCTACTCGGCCCATTCGGGCTCCATGTCCATTCTGCTGGAGGAGGACGATGACGGCCCGCAGAACAACAACCTCGGTCTCCCTCAAGGACCCGCCAACTTCACCCTGCTCTGGTACGAGTGCTGCTTCCCCCACCGCTGCAGAAACTGAGTCTGGCCAGGTCCAGATCACAGTGCTGCTACTCTGATTATAAAAAGACAGATTAAGATACATTTTATCTCTCGTCGTCATCGATAGATAGAAATGAAAGCTCACAGAATAGATTCAGAATTGACAATATTGAGCATCAGTTAAAAAAAAACGAAGCAGACCTTGTGTGTCTAGTCTTTGGGGAGGTGTTTTTTTTTTTTAACAGCAAGTGTTTAAATATGCTGAGGAGAATAAGTCCCCGTGTGCTTTTTCAGTCTTTCATGCTCGTTCTCCTGCAGGAGGTTCAGTTCTGGGACCAGGGAGAAGGTGCTGCGCTGGCTCTTCCCCAAAGCGGAGCTCTGCCCTCTGCTGGACAGCGCGGGCACCGTCCTGCAGCGCTGTCTGGTCACACACAGCACCAACTCCCAGAGCAAGGTGAGTTGCGCCGGGCCGGTCCTGCCTCTGGTCCCTGGTGTCTCCCTCAAAAGAAAATTTAAAATTTAAAGTGAACATAAAGAGATAATGGGCAGTGAGAGTCTAATCCTCCTGACTGGCTGACGTGGAGAGGTTAAGGATAAAAAGAGCTCCAGCCATTACTTCTTCCCCTGTATTTATTTTGCTCGGGGGTTTTTCCAGCCTCCGCCCTCAGATCACGGACCCGCAGTGTGTCTGTTTCAGGGCGTCCAGGTGCTGGGCTGGCTGGTGGTGGGGGAGGGGCTGCCCACCGTCCGCGTCCTGCCCGTCCAGCGCTGCCAGAAGCACTGCAGCTCCTTCAACCTGTGGCTGACCCCCGGAGACATGGGTAACGCCCGCCGCCCCTTTGGCCGCCCTCTGCTCCTCCTTTCGTGTCCTCAGTCGAGCCGCTTTTGTCAAGTTTTTGCTGCCAAACGGTTTTGTTTTTTGGTATTTACTGACTTTGCCATGGCTTAATGTCCCTGTGTGTTTCCCCCCCCTCTGACCCGTGCAGTGTACGCCGACCCCCGGTACTGGCAGATGGAGCTCTTCCCCGGCCGTGGTCAGAACATCATCTGTGACGGGTCGACCTTTTAGGCTCCGGGCGGGCAGAGTTCAGGAGCGCCGCGGGAACGTTGGGAGCCGGTCGGCCTTTCTGTCCCTCTGCCGACGGACGCCTTAGAACCGCCCCCCGAAAACCCAGCACGCTTCTAAACTCAGTTTTCGGTACGAGCGGACCTCCTGCAGGCGAACCACGAGGATCGGGGTCAGACGGCCGCTTCGATTGGGACTTTGGTCCCTTTGCCGGACAGTTGACAGTCACCCGTGCCACAGCTTTAAGGCGGTCTTTAGCGGTTACAGACAAAAAACGAGGAGGAGTCACCAGGTGAGTCGCTGTTTCTGACCTCACAGAAACGGAGATGAACAACCAGTACGACTGAGGAAGAGCTCATTACCGTGTCTGTGCCAAGGTTAGGCCTCGAGCCGGGCCGTTTGCAGCCCCAAAAGCCAGCGATCAGAATGACCACTTCATCAGACCAGCTGCTCCCCACTGGCCCCCAAATCCTCCTTAGTAATTCACCTTTAATCATTCGCTGATGATGAAAGGCCCGGGATGTAAAGGAAGCTGCTATCAACGGATACAAACAACAAAAACCTCCAGCTCCAAAGTATCTGCTCTGTGTAAGCGAGATTAGAAGAACCAGGGGGACTTCTTTTCCCCTGTTTGGTTCGTTTGGGTTCATCTGAGAGCTCCCGCTCTTCTTCCGTCTCTTTATGGGATGCTTAAAGTGGAGCGGAGCCAGGTTAAACATCCTGCTCCTCTCAGTGAGCTCCAGCCGTAATGCACTTTCACTCATCGCCGTCCGACCTGAACTGGACTTTTTCAGTTATTTTTTTTCCTCTTTATGTGAAGCCGTGTTATGTATAGTTATTCTCTCAGTAAGATAAGTTCCTAACAAACGCAGTCGCACGAAACCATGGTGGCGTTTCCTTTCTGAAATAGTTGGATCAAAAAGGGCGAGGTGGTTAAAGTGCCTGGTTAAAAGTTCAGAGCATCCAACAGCCGCCCTGCTGTCAGTGATTCTTATCTTAAATCATGTCGAATCAGCTCGTTTTTTGCTTTTCACTGCAAACTAAACAAAATTGGAACTCTTTTTTGAGGACCAGTGAGTGGAAATGGACAAAAAGAGCAGATGAATCATTTAAAAACCAGGTTAGCAGGTTAGCAGGAGCTGAATGTCATGCAGCCTGCTGGGATGTGGTCTGTGAATTATGTGGAGTAGTTTTTAAAACGGGGCAGAAGAGACCAGCTAACGGCCGTTCATACATTTGAATTAATGATTGTACAGATGTGCTTCTCTGCTCTACATGGTTCCTGTTTTGACTGTACAAATATGTGCAATCGTTCAGTTTAACAGAAATAAGCTGTAATATATTTTTGATTATTCCTGCAGAGTGACAATGGGGGGATATATTTTGTGCATTATCCAGATTTAAAAGTCAGAACAATATTGAATCAAGCCAAAGTGAATATTTCCAGTGTCACAGCCCGTTTTGGAGATGTCTGCTTTGCATTAAAAGTGTCATAGTTTTATGAGAAAACGTTAAGCTGTCCCCTATTTGCTGCTCCCGGTGTGGAACTCCAGCCAGAAGCTGGTTTGAACTGGTGGGGTTTCTAAGGTTTTGGGGGTGAAGACGAACCAACAAAGTGAATGAGTTGTTGAGTTATTGTCCAGATAATCTGATACAGTTTGTGTGGAGGAGATTTTCTAATCATATATTAACATATTTGTATTAAAATATTTTGTGGGAAAAACGGAACTGAGTCGTCTTTTGTTAGAGGATGTGGGTACAGACACAGAAAAAGCACATTACAAATAGAAAGTACGTCTTTATTGGACATAACAGGGTTTATGTACAACAGCTGCCAGAAGGTACTGCAGTGCAGAGGAAAAGCTTCGGGTTAAATCTGCTCTTTTATAGCTGATAAGATCATTTCCTTTAATATGTTCTCAGAAGAATTCCTCTGATGTTAATCATGTCAGTTATGTGTAAAATAAAAAAGACAAATCTGGAGAACAGAATCAGGTCAGGTGGAGGTTGATTTTCTTCACTCACTTTAGTCCCAATCAACACCATTTATATATATAGAAAAATCAATGGTTTTTACACCCATTCAGAAGATGTCCATGAAAAAGAGTTTATAGACGACCAATGTCTGTTACTGAAAAATGTTTTTTTTAAAAACATTTTCATGCCCCTCCCCACACATTAAAAAACACATTAACAGAGAGCCTTAAAGAGGATCGTACAGTGGAAGTTAATGGGAGTCATTTATGAGACGGAAAAAATATTTGGCCGATTTCATAATGTTGGGGCTTTTCTTTTCTCCCGTTAACTAACGTAATGCATCTGTAAGAGCCGATTCGATCAAGAAGCTGCCAGACTGAGATCCTTCCACAGGTTTTCCAAAAGGTTTTCTCCTGGTTTTTCTAACCCCAGGATTATTGCTCTTGTTCTATTTAAAACCCGCAAACCACCAGATAAAAACAGAAAAAGAAAAAAATACCCTGATGGGAATTAGAGTAATGCTGAATCTGAAACCACTCTGTACAACTTCAGTTTGCCCTGGGCTCACAGGTGGGAGTTTGTCAGTTAACGCTGTGAAAAGGACGTAAAGTGCAGAGAATCTGACGAGTTTGAGCGATAGGTGCAAAAGCATCTTGTTTGGATTCTCTGGGTCGTCAATAAAAACAAAAAAAGGAGAGAAAAACTACCCCCCCCCCCATCATCTTTTTAAAAAACAAAGTAAGTTTTCATCCATTTTTTGTTAGAGGAGTGAGAACGGAAGCCTAATGAGCTGAATTTGAATATTTGAGCACGTATAAACAAGAGGAAGGACACGTTTGGGTGTTCTGACCCTTTAAGAGGGTCATTCCTCAGACGCTCAGCACCAATAGTGATTAGGCAGAAGCAGAAACTGCTCTAAAAGCAGTAGTGTGCCGGCTGCACGCTGTGTCACGTTGTTCCCGCCAGCAGGGGCGAGGTTTCAGAGGCGTTTAGTCGAGCTGCCGCATAGCCTCCGTGGGGGCCGTCGTACAGGTGGCTGCTCTTCAGGTCCACCTCGGCACGCAGGTTTATTTTCTTAAAGGAGAGAGAAAAAAGATCAAAATCAATACTCCTCTTGATTAAATGAGACAGGAGTCTTTTTTGGGGGGCGACTGACAGTGGTCTGAGGCGGCTAACGTGGACCTGAGACCTAAGACCAAGTACCTGGAAGTCTCTGATGTAGGTGAGGAAGAAGCTGATGAAGGAGAAGGCCAGAGACCACTCCGACACCGTGCTGATAATGTGGGCCGTGTAACCCTGAAAAAGAAAAAAAGAGGAGGAAAATCCACGAGACATTCGTTTCCTTCAGACAACCGGCTGCTCCCGGCGGCGGCTGACCGTCTCTCCCGGCGTCCAGTGGAGTTTTCGGGGAACGTCGATTCCTTTGAGGCTGCTGTACATAATGACCGACGACACGAACACTGCGGGACTGTTAAGGAGAGCGTTTTCAGGAGTGTGTGTGTGTGTGTGTGGGGGGGGGGGGGGTGTCTACACAAAAAGCTGGAGCTCCGGGCTGAAGGATACTGCTGATGATGCTCCCCAGGGTCCACAGTCCGACGGCCAGCCGGACCAGGTAGGCGGCCCGGCTGTGGACGCGCGGCTGCATGTAGAGCGAGAGCAGCGTCTGGGCCAGGATGTAGAGCGCCCCCACCCCGAAGGTCAGCACCGCCCCCAGCAGGTGCACGGAGAACAGGGTGGTCTTCTGCACACACACACACACACAGAGACAGGCGCACGCTCTGGACGGTGTGTTCCTCCCTCCGGAACAAACCCCGTCTCCGAGCGGCCGCCCCTCACCTGGAAGTTGGCCACCACGCACATCCCGAAGGAGCTGACCAGGCCCAGCCAGAGCCCCAGGCGGTTCAGCCTGTGGAGCTTCAGCTCGTCCTCGGCGGTGAGAGCCTCCACCTGCTTGTAGCGCACGTACACCGTGCACATGCCTGCGGAACGGAGCGGAGAGGCGCGTCAGGACTGGGCGCTCGCTTCTCTCCGGTCAGAGGGGGGGGAGCATTTGCGGGCGGCTGGCCCTGAAACATCCTATAGCTCTGCCTGTAGCTGTAGGCCCAGAGCTCCCATGATGCACCTGTCCTCCCTCTGCTCCCTTCCCTCTCCACTGACATGCGACATTAGTGTTCCTCCCTCTCCTCAGCTATCCCGAGCTGCTGTTCAGGTGCTTTTTGGCCTTCTTAAACCCCAGAGGTTCGGGGCAGGTGACCACCCGCATCGGTCCGAGTTCCCATGGAGGTTCCTTCCCGTTCAAAGGGAGGTTTAATTCGCCGTCTTTAAAAGGCTGGCGGATCTGAGTGTGCGTTTGCGTACCTAAAAAGGCCGACACGTCCAGCATGATGCCAAACACACACCTCTCTGGAGCCATGGTCCCCGTGTCGCTGTAACACACAGAGAGGGGGAAGAAGCCCCCAGATATTTAAACCCACAGAGTGAGACTTCCCAAATAAGCTGGAGACATTGTCAGCATCCACTGAAATCTTGATTTCTCAAACAGTAGAAAAACAACGGGAAATAATCTTAACACAGATTAATAAAAACTGGGTTTTTTTCCAAAAAAAGCAACTAAACTACGAGCACAAGATAGGAAACATATCAAAGTGTGGATGGCTGTTTTATCCCCGCTGGGCCTTGAGGTGCTGGGCCCCCGGGTCTCAGGGCGGGTCGGGTCGGGGCTCGGACCTGATGTACGGCACCAGGGGGTCGACATGTCTCAGCACCACCGCCGTGACGTAGGCGAAGACGAAGGACGCCGCCGTCCAGACGACCAGCGCGGCGGGCAGGAAGCACAGACCCTGCTGGAACCACCACATCTCCCCCTCTCCACGCGGATCTCACAGTCCTGTACAAACAGCGTCGTCGTCAACCAGAGAACAGATTCAGGCTTCAGAAATAAAACCTTTAAAAATCACAAATCAAGCCTTTAAGAAACTTCAGCTGTACATTAAGAAAGTTCTTTGGCTTCTGCAGTGTAATCTCCTCTGCTTTGGATCTTAATGGCTGAATGATTAGGGCTGGGCTCTAGTCTTGGAATTTACCATCAGAGTTTAGAGAGCCATCGTAAAAAACAAAAAAACATCAAGCATGTGACAATGACAGTGAAAAAGATCCAAACAGGAAGCACGGAAATGAGCTCCTAATCAGACTAATGTCACAGGTTACATAATCAGATTGAACCCTGGTCCGAAGAGGGACTCCTAATGTCTTCTGTATCAGTTAGACATGTTACTGACCAAGTTGGGGCGTTTAATTTTAGATAAGAAAAAATAAAACAAAACTATTTCAAAGAAACTATGTTAAGTTTCACTTCCCTTTCTGGGAAACTGAAAAAAAAACAAGGAAAAAAGTCCCACAGGCAAACTACATGTCAGAAAGTGATAACTGAACAGTTATTCTTGAATTGAAATGAATTCATTTCCTGGAAGAATTTATTTAGGCAGAGTTAGGAGAAACGAACAGTCGGAACCAAAAGACTGACCCATAGAAATCACGTGTGTGCATCCCGGACAAAACTAACAACAGACAGCCAGCTGGTTTCCCGGCTGCAGGCAGTTTTAGACACGGGATTAAAGACCCCCCCCCACCACCCACCCCCAAACACACACACCCAGTTCAAGCTTCAGCTGTGTTTCTACTATCTATTGACTATTTATTGACTTGCTATCGGAGCCATCGGACAGACATCATAATGACACTCACGTTATCCGAGTCCTCCACAGAGCATAATCCTCCTGCGCCAAAAGCAAATGTTACTCCGCTTTTCTTAACGTCCAAACCGGCCGGTAGGAGACTCTTTAGGTGCCTTCAGTCTTCCCCAAAGACCCACGAACGCGTCCAAACTAAAAACTTTAATATTTGGTGAAACGTCCGTACGCTTCCTTTTAAGATGAAGCGCGCATGCGCAAATTGACTAGCCTCTAGGATAGCTTTGCCCTCAGTGTTGTCTTGCAGGATTGTCTGCAATGAATTCACAGATAAAAAGTATTCATTTATAAATGCCATGCTCGTGTGATGTAACTTCAGAAATCGATACTGCTGTTGATGGTCAACAGTTATCCTGAAAACATGACAACCTGATTTCTTCATTGATCCGCAGAAACTTTTATCTCTCTTCCGAAAGGTTTCTTCGCTTCTGACAAACTGAGCCACAAGCCCTTAGATTAGATAAACTTAGATAAACACTATAAATATTATATAGATATAAAATAAACAAAAACTGATACATAAATATGGATGACAGTTTATACTATAAAGGTCAGTAAAAATCTTACCCATACTGACTCCTATTTTTCTGTTTTGTTACTGTCTGTTATATGGGTTACAATTAGTGAATATTGCCCATATACAAGAACTTTCTTGGATTTAAAAGACACAGCGGAAATGATAAAAAAAAACATTTCATTAGAACTTCTCATGTAGCATTACGTCATATGTAAATGTGTAATAAAGAAAAGTTCATGCCTGTAGCATCAACTTACCAAACTTACCAAAAAACTATCTAAACAACAAGAAAAAAAGAGACTTGACCTAGTTTTACTAATGGGCAAGACTAACCTGTCTCACGTGGTCTGAAACCAGCTCAAGTTCCCCATCAATGGATGAAACGACCCAACGCTTATTGAATATTTATCTGAGTGGTTACAATACGTATATGTAATATGTGTGGGCCTTCCACTTCTGTTTTCTCAGTGGAAAGTGCAGTGGCCCCCAGGTTTTCACACCACAGCAGTGGCTTTAGTTTCACCTCCTGGCTGATCCTGAACAGACTCTGAAGGCTTCCCCGTATTCCACCCACCAGGATAAAAGGCCACCTGTGTTAGGTTTGATGTTAGACCTGTGCGCCATCTAATTGTGCTCCTTTTAGATGCCTTATAGAATTTGCTGTTCATCTTTTTTCATCATTTGACCAAGAATTCCCTTGTTAAAATATGAATGCGCTTAAAACATGCCTACAATTTTCTCTGGTTTACCCCTCGTTATGGAACATAATTGCAAACAAAACACCCATTGTTTTTGGCCTTGGTGCTTTGGTTTGGTTGTGTGAGTATATGTGAATGCATTCAGCTGTTCTGAAAATATGTGTCATGAATATTTTATTGTAAACTAGTAACAAAATGAACCTTTTTTAAACTTAGTATTGTCATAAAGTTTCTTTTCCCCCCAGAATTTTCTATAATTTGTTTGTAGACAAGAAAGAAGCCATTTCATAGAAATCCGATTAGGAAGAAGCATCAGTGTAATTTCAAACAGGTCAAAATGTGATTGTAGTCCTCTTGGAGATGGAGTAGTTGACGTCACACAGGATGGGAAAAGACTTACAATTAGAAAATATCGTCAAGTTCACATCATCCTAAATGTAAAACTGCAGCTTTGACAGCCAAAGCATGTGAGTTTAAACTGTTCTGGTAAGTGAATTTAATCTTGTTCCACATCTGTAGTTCCCCAAATTTGTACCGCCTAAACTAATTCAGGTTTCCATCTCAGCAAGAGCTGCTTCTCTTTCTGCTGCTGTTACGCTTTCATCGGCTTAAATATGTTTTCTGTAAAATGCACAGGAAGACAGCATTTTTGTGGATAGGTGAGTAATTTCCACTGGACACCAATTTTTTTGTAGTTTTTTTTTTAAATCTAAAAATCTGAAAGAAGTTAGAAAGTTGAGGGGGAAAAAAATCTCAACACCTGGGGGGAGCGAAGTTTGACACAAAGGTGCAGAAAGCAGCAGCCGGATCCAGTAAAACACAAGTAGAGAGCTGGTTCCAGGTGGGAGTAGGAAATTTATTTGCATTGTTCGGTGGAGAAGAGATTGTCAGGTGGCTTTGTTTTCCCGAGTCGTCTAAGAATACATGGTTGTGCACACGACTGAAATAACTGAGCTCGGTATTCTGGTCAACAGTGGGGAAAAAGTCGACACCAGCCTCAGAGAGCAGTGACACGCTCTTAAAAAAAAAAGCCTTTGGTTCTGAATAAAAAATAGAAAAGAAAGGCGTTTAAGAGCCATTACAATAAGTTGGTCACTTGTATCTTCAGGCTATCTGTACAAAAAAAAAATCAACTGTGTAGCTGGATGCCACACATGGAGATGGAGGCCTCAGTTCATCCCTCGTTTTCTCCAGTAACACTGAACGGACGCCACAGATCGGCAGAAAATAAGGAGCGGAGAGGACAAAATGACTGTGACATCCTAGGACTGAGAGGGTTTAATCAAAACCTTTGTTTAATGTACCATTTGTAATCGCTTAACAGCAATTTTTTCTGTTAATTCAAAAGAAATCAGGAAAGTTAGGAACTCTCTGCTATCCTCATTTGGAGGCTCAGTTCCCCCAAATCCCAAACCATCCCCTGGGTTCATGTTAACGTCTCCATCAGTTCTGCCTTTAATTTAAGTTACCACCCAAAAAGGTTTGGGAAATTACATTTCAAACAGATCAGTGATTTCTTTTTAAAAATCAAACCTATAATTATCCTAAAGTTAATCAAGTCTTCCTGATGTGATTTCAGAAAACATTAGAATATGTTTTTTAAATACAAGACTTTCAAGTTTTTAGTTGTCACGTTATTCTCAAACCAGATGTTCACTTTTTTTTACTGATAAATTATGGACTTTTATTATTTCCCTCCTTTCATTCAAGACAAGTTCAACCATTTTTCTTCCTAATACTGACACAAACGTATCTGAAAAATGAAAATCTGATTAATTGTTTATGCATCTGGTGTCTACAAACATGGTTTTAGTTTTAAAGACTCTTCTAGTCTCTCGTAACTTCATCTTCCCTTCAGATTAGTAAGAAAATCTATTATTTTACCCTAAAAAAAAACATGATTTCATACATTACGCCATAATCGTCCACTTTAAGGTCTTAAAGACCAAATATTTTTGCGATTATGAGCAAACTGATCCTCTGATCCTGTGTTTGTGAGACTCTGGGCAACGGTCATCAATTCAGACATTTGGATTACCACACCACCACCCTGAACCTGAACTTGGACAAAGTCAGAGTTGGGAGACATTTGCACATGAATGAAACTCGCTACAGTCGACACTTGGCATTGCAGATCATGTTTAACAAAACGTGGAGGCATAGCACAGTATCTGCGGATGGACCTTAAATAAAACAGGCACAGTGTGCAAAAGCATTAAACTATTATCTGCTGCAGTGGACAGAAATGTGCTCTAGGGAGGTGACCGCAGGCCGTCGCCAGGGGAGGCCTCCAGCAGCCGCCATGTTTAACGCGCCGTCAGGACGAGGCCGTGTGACAGTATCAGATGATGATTCGGCTGCGGGTCGCAGCAAAAAAAAAAACCAAAACACCTCAAATAAACAGATTTAGTCAATATTAAGTTTTGATTCCATCCTCTTCGGTTATCGTCTTAAAACCTTGGAGTTATGGTGAGCCCCCACCTCCCACACAGCCGCTCAGGCGTGCGCCCGTTCTGAAGCAGCAGGTACGCTTAAAGGGGGAAACGGGAAGTCAGAGTAGTAACATTTCACTCCGTAAAGCGGCCTCAGCTCTGACGCTTCTGGACTTAAATAGCTGCAAGCTGTTTGAACACAGACTAGACTTGATTCGACTTTAAATAAATGGACCCAAGCAGGACACGCTGGAGTTCGATGGCTGGTGGAGTGATCAGTGACTTTGTAAACAGCTTAAAATAACGGGCAGAAACAGAGATTTCTGAGGCCGTGTCCTGCTTTTAAACTTGTGCACAAGAAGTAAAAAAAGAAATCGAGCCTGCAGGAAGCTTAATCTTGCCGACCATTCACCGAGGTATTAACTTCACAAACAACACCGAAAACAAATATACAATCCCCCCCAGAACCTGAAAAGCCCGAAAATCTCCAGGTGCACGTAACAGAAAAAAATAACCCTGAAGATTTTCTTGTTTTGTACCTGAAAGACGTTGCGATAAACCCGGGAAAATGTAACACCTCCCCCCCCAAAAGCGTACTCTGCTGATTCAAACCGGCGGCACAACTTTGAGTCGGGTGAAGAGGATGAAGCAGCTTTAAAATCACACACATGAAGAAAGGCTTGTAGAAATGTATCAAAGCAAGTCCTCCAACTCAAGAGAAGCACAGACACTGTACCAGTATGGTATTTACAATAGCAAAAGGTCAAGTTATGCGCATGTTACAAAAATTATAATCATGAAAAGCAGTTTGTTTAATTTCTTATACATTTTCTTGCACTTAAACATTTAAAACACATGTAAGTTTCTCTCTTTAAACACACCGAGTAGCACCTGTACTCTCCTGAAAAGTTTCCCCTGCAACCGTGAGTTTGTCAGAAGAAGAAGATGAAACTGGTACAAATTGAATTCTGCACTGGTGAAAAAGAAACCGACAGTAATATTCCAATGTCCTACTATATATATTATTTGTCCTCACATTCAGTTGGCAGAAGCACATACTTAATACCAGGCCGTCCCCTGCGTCTCTATGTGGAAAACCGAGGGAGGAGGAGATGAGTGCGACTAACCGGAAGGGACAGAGTCAGTATCGGCCGGCGAGTCCTCAGTGAGGAGCTGAGCTGAGCACTGAGCAAGGCTTGATTTTGAAAACGAAAATGTGAAGATGGCAGGCAATCTGGTTGCAAACACTGACACAGTAACGCACCAAGTCAAACAGGGAAATTATCTGCAAGGGGGAGAGAGAGAGAGAGAGAGAGAAACACAGTCAAAGAATCCATTAAAGCCTGGAAGAAGAAAACTTAAATGATCAAAATCTAACGTTCAAAAACCTCCCACATCAGCAATGAGTCATTTTAATCTCCTCTAAAAAGGTTTTCCCCATTTCACACGCGAACTTACCAGTGCAATCCAGAGCACCAGGTACTCGTCGATAAAACTATTGAAATACTGATCCAGGAACAGTAATCCCGGCCCCAGGAAGGCTAAATCGTGGAGATGCATCTCGCTTTTTGTCATATGTGCTACCTGCGGGGAGCCAAACACACAAGAGCGTCGTCAAGCAACGGCATTCGAAGCAGCAAAGTTCAAGAATTTTTTCCCAGTCTGCTTTTATGACCCGAATAAACCCCCTTAACTTTGGATGCATTTTAATGCACATCTAGGGTTACGGTGATCAAAGGCAACAGGTCACAGTACATCAGACATCATTCCCTGCTCTGTCCGGCATGCCGGACGTCTGCGTGCATCATCTCTTTGCGACGGATGTAAAATGTTCGAGGAACTCACAACTAATTTATTGGTGATTTTGGCAGACACGAAGCCAAACGCCAGGATATAAAGACAGGGATGTTTCTCAAAGAGCTGGACCGCAGACTTCTTGTATATCATCATCGCCAAAATTATAACGGAACCAATGTGCAGGACTGGCGAGAGGACGCTGGTTCCCTAGGGAAAAGATGAGAAAAGCACAATAATGACACAGGTAACGATAGCAGAGCCGGGTCAGTCATTTCACAAAACGCCAGGCTTTGGAGAGGTCAAACTGCTTTTGTTTTATTGGGATCAGACGTTACACTTCAGTGTGGAGCAATCTGCATAATTTATGACTGAAAACTGACACGTTTATCCATCAGTTTGCTGTTTTTCTATCAGTCTGTAAATCTGATTTATCTCGTCGCCTCACTGATGCTCATATTACAACAGGACAACATTCAGAAACGCGATTTTGTTCAGAAGGGCCGTCAGAACTACGGCTCTAAAATGAGTTTCTCCACTTACCGCTATTGTGGATCCATTTTTGCCCACACCTCCTGTAAAAATAACTCTGAAATAGTTGGTGCAGGAGAAGATGGCTCCTAAAAAAGTGCAGATGGCAGGAAGCATTTTCATCTGGATATTTAGGACCGGAATCTGGGAAGGGGGAGACATTAGCATGGTCAGCTCTGGGAAGGAAAAACAAACATACAAGTCCTGATCTGCCTATAAAGCCCGGCTACTTTTGCACTTTGTGGGTTAATGCGGCACTTCACCCACAGCGGAAGCATCGTGATGTAAGAGAGTGATTCAAGCGCTCGGATGGACGTTTGTCTGCAATTTGCAGAGAAACTCTATCACTACAGCGTAAAACGACGACAACACGGGTGTCAGAGGAGCCGTGCCTTTTAGTCAGGATCACCATTTCATAATTACGACATCATTCCTACTATATCTCAATCTGGAGGAATTAAAACCGATCAGAATTACCAGTGACTGCCAAAAAGCAGATCCTCCCACGGCGGCCAGCAAATACATGATTATAATGAAGATTTGCACCTCAGTCACATCAATGCTGAGTGGGAGGAGAAAGCAGAGAGTTTACAGAGAGGGGTTAGTGACGTCTACCAGCACATCATCATCATTCTCATCATCATCATCATCATCTTCCCGGAGTCTTCCTCCACAACACGCTGCTGGACCTGGAGCTGCTTCCTCAGCACAGAGCGCCGCCACTCTGCAGGACGCTAAAGATGCAGCCAGTAATGTCTGAGAGCTGAGAGGATCTTTGACGGCTCGCTTTTTTCATCTCAAAACACTAAAAACATTTTATGGAGGACAAACGGGTGTTCTTTAACAAGCGGAATGGCCCAGATGCCATTTCTGGTGCTCATTCTGAGCCAAACCAGAGGAAAAACGTTGACCCACGTCTGATGTCAACCCTCAATTTGTGGGAGTTTTCTTTTTTTTGTTGTTGCTGAGAAAGGTTAGTCAGTGGATGGAAAATTAGTTTTCAGTTGTGCGGCCATCCTGAACAATGAACAGGAAACAAAGACGAGGAAATAAGAAGTACGCAGATTTGAGAGGCTGCATGCTGAAGTAAAATAAATAGATACCTTTTTTTTTTTTTATTAAAATTTTTTTTGTCTGGATGGGCATCATAATTAATTAAACTACTATAAAAAAGTCAGGAATAACATTTAAATTAATACAAAATTTCTTTTAAGGATTATTCTATGAAATAAATATTTCCTTTTATCACTTTGTATATTTGTATCATGTATTTGAAGAAGTGGTGAATGCATCTGGAGGCCTACTGAGCTTGAACACTTGTGTGTGCGTTTGGCTTTACAAAGGAAGCAAGAGGGAAAGAAAAAAAAAGCTGGTGAAAGGGTTTTTGTCTTTTTTTGCTCTTCAGAGGCATTATCTCTGAAAGGCCCAGTTTTACTGGCTGCATCTTTCTGCGTGGCGCTCTGCGGGTCGGATTTCTCCGCCTGACTCCGTGCAGGTCGGCAGCCATTGTGGAGGCGGACGGCAGAGAGCCAAGCGGCAGCAGCCAGGAGGTTTACCATCATGTTCCACAGGCAGGGGCCGACAGCAGCTGTGAGCATCTGTATTCCTGCTAGACAGATCTGCACCTCTGTTATGTCAAATCTACACACAGAACACATCCACGTTTACTGCTCCCCACCGGCTCTTTTCTGAGATGGCACTTAAAAAGTTCAAATACTTCTGGGTCAGTGTTTCATGCATCTTTGTGTCAGTGAAATTTTAAAAAGCTGATAATCTCCCCCTGACCTGTTTCTCTGTGGGTTAAAGGTGTTTGTTTCATGCAGCTTGCCTGCTCTGCCAAACTTGTGGGTGATTGTGACAAACCGGTTTTCAAATACAAGCAGGTGAACGGCACAAAGAAATGAAAACCACATAAAGAGATGGACACATTCATGGATTTTTTCACAGAATTTTGATGGTAATCTCTCTCTGACTAGTCAGAGTCCAAACTTTTACAGTTCAGCTCGCAGAAGGTGAAAGGAGGGAGGCAAGGACGGCTGCGTCTTCACCCAGAGGCTTAACAGGTGCTTGTTCTGTCGCATTAAGGCTGCATGCCGAAGGCTGAATTAGTGCTTTAAAAGTCCTGAACCAACATTAAGCGGCATAAATTGCATTCGTTTAAATTTATCCCTTCACAATCACATATTTCAAGTAGAAAAAGCTACTAACCTGAAGCATCTTTGGATGCAAACTGCTGGTTGTAGTGTGTAGTGTGAAACAACTATTTTTAATTAATTTAGCTACCAGAAAAGAGTTATATTGTTTTGTGCATGTGCAATAAGATAACTCTGTCTTAACACCCTGAGACTATAACAGACGGTGAATGGAGCCATTTTTCATTTAAAATATCTAAAGATGAACGAGACCAGAACAACAAAGTTGCAACGTTTTTGTTTTGTTTAGGTAAAGGTTTTGGTGCAAATAAGTTGGTGCATAATAATGGAGGAAATATTCATTTCTCAAAGTGAAAAAAAGCTTCTTGGTAGGAAACATTTTGTTCAGTGAAAAGAAATGTCACCAAGAACCTTTTTGGAGTCTGAACATTAAATGTAAACGAAGCACTGGCAAAAGGTAGACTGGGGCTGAGAGCTCTTAAAGATTGTGTGGACTTACATGCCGAAGCGCAGCGTTCCCGACACATACGTCTGCCAGTGGGCGCAGTAGAACATAAACATCCCGGCGAAGCAGCAGAAGAACATCCAGTCCGGGTTGGTGCCCAGCTGCACGGCTATGCTGGTCCCCAACACCACAAACACTGCGGAGAGACGCACGCCAACAGCCGGGCGGTCAGCCGACCACCGCCACCTTCTCTGACACACAACCCGACCCAGACCCACCCGTGGAGAGGGAGTCGCAGCCGTGGTCGAACAGCTCGCCCAGCGGAGAGCTGCTGTTGGTGCGTCTGGCCTGCTTCCCATCGATGGCGTCCAACGACTGATAGATAAAAAGACCCACGGCACACAACAAGTACGCCCAGAGAGGAGCCTGGAATATTGGACACATTCATTTAGAGCAGAGCAAACATCTGTCATCTACATGTACATCTTCTCCTAAAAGAAGTAGGTGTGTGTGTGTGTGTGTGTGTGTGTGTGTGTGTGTGTGTGTGTGTG